TATTTCAAGAATTACGGGGGGGTCGTTGGACTGGGGATAGCCACCTGGACTACCGCTATCCTCACTCTGCTCACTGCGAAAATGGGTATGCCGAAGAAGGTGGACTCGCCAGTCGACCTGGGCAAGACCTTCCACGCCTACACTACCCCGTGGGCGGATCCCGAATGGTCGCAGCAGGAACTGCAAACATTCTTCGAGAGAATCTCTCTTGTGCCGTCGGACGCGCGACTGAAGCTTGAGCCTGGTATTCATCCTGGAATCGAAGTCAAGTCTCTGCTGCTGTCGCGCAGAGAAGAACCGCGAATCGAGGAGGCTTTCCCAAAGGCCCATGAACTGATTAACCTAGCCCTCGAAGATTGGGCCAAGGGAGAGATTTCGATCGAGCTCGTTCCCTTGGGCACCCTTGGTCCCGGCATCCGCGCTTTGAGCTGCCATGCCAGGGACCAGCTGAAATTGGTTGTTGCTGTCGGACGCGGACTGGATGAGCGCATCGACGTTAGCAGTAACTGCCAAATCATCGCCGAGACTCTGCTTCATGCAGTGTCCGAGTCCATGCTACGCATGCCTCACGAGTACGCTGTGCTTGCCGAATCGCTCGTCACGGCCGGAGTGACCGAGACCATGGCCCGGCAGCTGCGCGAAGAACCCAACACTCCTGTCGTCGTGCGGTGGGCCAAGAAGGAGCTCCTCCGGCAGCTGTGTCTGGGTTTCGAATGCGACACGCACTGGGAGAAACTCCCCAAGACTATCCGCAAAGCATTGCTTGACCGCTGTGTCGGCAAGCCTTCCCACTTTTCGGACCGCGACAGGCAGTGGCTTCAGGAACACCTCTGCCGCTTCGACACCAGTGATCTTGATGTCCATGTTGCCCGATGCAACTTGGGAGCCGCCACCGCCGTCAGCATCCTTGACTACGCCCACTACGGCACCGGCGAAGAGGCCCTGTGCAAGGATTCCGAGACGCCGCTGTTCATTCCGTACGTGTCCAACAAGCTGCCTGCGGCTCTCGCGTTCATCAAGGATCCCCTGCACAACTTCTGGTACTCGGTTGCGTCCGCCATCAAGTTCATCATCATCGCCTTGATTGCCGATCCGGAATTCCAGAGAGAATTCGACCATGTGATGAAACAACGCTCTCGAATCATCCGGGTGCCGTGCGTGTTTATCCTCAACATGATCTGGTCGTACTCGAAGATTGTGCAGGACGTCGTCCTGTCGTTCTTCCTCTTCCACGGTCGTGACAACGTCAAGCGTCTCTGGGACGAGACCAAGGGCATGACCATCAGCATCAAGAAGAGCAGGTTCATGGTCCAGAGTCTCGACGGCACCTTTACTGCTTTCAAGCACGATGACGAGGATGGCGGCTTCAAGGTTTACTACTACAGCGGCGAGCACAAGACCGAACCCGAGGGCACCAAGTCCCTCAAGTATGTCAGCACGTACTCGAAGGACATGCTCCTTCTCATCCGGCAAGAGTTCAAAGACGGCAAAGCGATCGACGAGTTCCATTATGACTACCGCGCCCCGAACAAGAGGAGTCTCAAGTTAACCCGCGCATCCGATACCAGAATCCCCCTGGGCCGGCGTTGCATTCGCGGCGACAGCCATCTGCAGAGCGTCCAGTATAATCGCAAGGGTCTCATCGAGGCGGGTTCCTACATGAAAGACGGCAACCTGATCCGGTTCAAGTACCACTACCGGAAGAATCCCCGGTTCGGCGATGAACTGCTTCGCGCGGAGTTTGTGCTCTCGCACATCACCTGCACGGTCTCCTGGTGTGCTCCTCCCGTCCGGCATGCCGAGAAGGTCGAGCGCTGGATCCCTCACTCCAAGGTCACCGAGGCGACATTTGTCCAGGGCGCCGATGTCTACGAGGCTCGCTGGCTGTACGACCACAAGTTCCACCCTACCATCTTCACCACGCTCAACGGACAGAAGATCCAGACGCCGCCCATGATCGAACATGACTTCCTCGGCGTCCTGGCCAAACCCAAGTACACAAGCTTTGTGCATGACAACCCCCTCTTCTACTGCGACAATCTCAGCTCCAACGCCATCACCCGCTTCCTGGGACTCTCCACCAAACGGTTCCCCGTCTCGACCTCGCGGGCCCGCTCTCTGGTCTGGAAGGCATGGAAGGACCGCGTCGACTTTGACGGCATCATCGTCCGTTGGATGGATGAGCGGCTGCTGCGCAGGGACAAGACGCTGGCCCCGTACTGGCGCAGCCGGGACCGCGGCGACCTTGCCTCGGCGAAGAAGTACCTGGATCTGCGCGCGGACACGGTCATGGCGAGTGCGGATCTCGACGACAACATTTCCAGCTGGACACCCATGGCGATCAAAGTCAGCGATCTGCTGAACTTTGGTCCCGGTGGCGATGCGGTCGTCAACACCCGGTCCAAGGATTTCGGGTCTGACACGGACAAGTCGCTGCACGTTATGGCGGCCGACACGGGCACCTGGCCGAACGAGGGAGGTGGTGTGTCTGCCTGTCGGCGCGATATGATCAACTCCCTGCGGACGATCAAGTGGCACATGATCTGCGAGTCGGCCAACGACTTTGGAATTCCCAAGCATCAGACGGAGCAGAACGTGCTCTCGTTGAAGATGATTCCTCTCTGGGGGTTGGACTTTTTGACGCCGACGCATGGGCTCTTCAAGAACAAGCTCGACTCGGAGGTGGAGAACGTCACGTCGGCCAACGACATGGATATCAAAATGAACTTTATCCCGATCCTGACGGCGTTGGTCAAGGGTGCTCGCGCCATCGAGCTGTCCAAGGCGGACATCCACCAGGCCACTCGGGCACTGGTCAACCTCAACACGTACTTCCAGGACTCGAGGCACTGGACCCAGGTCTGGAACAGCGATATCGTCAAGGAGAGCTGGCGGGATCTCTGGCTCACGCAGGAGATGCCCAACACGGTCCCTTCGGCGCAGTGGTTCCATACCGAACTTCCCACCCTGGGGACGCTCGACGTCGCGCTGGAACTATGGTACCGCTACCTGTTCATCTTCTCGATTCCCATCCCCGAGCAGATCCCCAGCGTGTTCCAGGCCTCGCATCACAGTGTCAGCGCGTCATACGGCGTCGTCTGCAAAATCAAGCGAAACTGCACCCTTCAGATCTGGGACCACGCGATCAGCTGGCGCGAAACCAACCTCTGCCTGTCCTCTGCCCTGTGCAAGCTGTCTCCGTTCGTTCGAAATGCGCTCCTGGGCTTGATGCGCATCACCTCCGTCATTACCCTCCATCATGCCGACATCATCTCGCCGTGTGCCGACTTCTTCAACCCCGGATGGGAGGTGGAGATCGGTACCTGCCAGGGCACGATCGAGCACCGCAACATCTTCCGTCGCAAGGTCGACCCCGTCGTCAACGGTATCACGGACATGCAAAAGTTTGCCCCCGTCAAGGAGATCAAGTCGCAGCGACCCACCGTCACCATGCTGTCGCACGTGTGGTACGCCAAAGACATCAAGACCGCCCTGCTGGCCGCCGACATCATCATCAACCAGTGGAAATTCGACGACTACCATCTCGACATCTACGGCGCAATCGACAAGGCCCCACCTACTCCACCGAGTGCCAGGAGATCATCGCCTCCAAGGGCCTCCGCGGCCGCGTCACCCTCCGCGGCAGCGCCGACCCAATGAAAGTCCTCGAGAACACCTGGCTTTTCCTCAACTCCTCCCTCTCCGAAGGCCTCCCCCTCGCCCTCGGCGAAGCCGCCCTCACCGGCGCGCCCGTCGTCTGCACCGACGTCGGCGCCTCCCTCCGCGTCCTCAGTGATCCCGACGACTTCTCCCGCTTCAGCGCGGTGGTCGCCCCCAACGACGCGCTGGCCCTCGCCCGCGCCCAAATCACCATGCTCGCCCTCCTCGGCGAATGGTCCCAATACGCAGACGACGCCGAGCCCGCCCCGTCCTCACCTCCTCGCCTACCCCCGACGACGTCGCCAAGATCACCCGCCGCATGTACGAGAAGTCCGAACACCGCCGCAAACTAGGCATGATGACCCGCAATATCGTCCAGAAGTCCTTCTCCGGCGACCGCTACCTCCGCGAACACGAGCAGATGCTCTGGATCGGCAAGGCCGCCAAGACGATGGCTGTTCGCGCCGCTGCGGGCGCCCCCGGCACTGCCCTCGCCGATCCAATCGACATCACTGAAGCCCTCCAGACCGCAGACCCCATCGAGGAAGAAGTCATCACCATCCCGCAGTCCGCTGTGCACTCTTGGCGCTCCTCTGCGGCGTCGGGCATGTCAACCCTCTACTCCACTGTCTCGGGCTACCCCATGCTCCCGCTCACCCGCCCAGCCTCTATCCGCTCGTCGTTCAGTAACTTCTCCACAGCCACAGACTCAGACTCCTTCATGGCGCTGCCTGGCAACGCATCCCTCCCAGTTTTCGCGCCGAGGCAAACCCTCTCCTTCGACGCTGGAGGAGCTGTTACTCCTACGGGACGGTTGTCCCCGTCAGGCCGTCTGTCCCCGGCGTTTAGTCGGCACCGGCACTCGCACGCGCGGTCGATCTCGACGCTGGGCCGTGAGCAGCTGCGTGGTCTGCAGCGCGAGGAACCGCATCCGTACCGTAATTCGGATGTTAGTTTGCATATGCGGGAGGAGTTTTTGCAGTCGAGTATTTTCAAGTCGTTGGATGGGAATGGCAATGGCAGTAAAGTCTGACCTTGTCTCGCTACATCCCTCCTGTGGCTGCAAGCTGCACCATATCTGCATATATCATACCACCAGTCTATGACTGACTGTATATACATGCATGCATGCATGTCTACATCTATCTTTTCCTTACCTTTCTATCATGTACTGCATGCATTGCATAAATTAATTTTTAAAGGCGAGGCTGGTTTGCATTTGCATTACGGACGAAAAGAGTTGTTGCATCATTGTGTTTATAGTTTGCATAGCGTGTTGAATATACATTTGCATTTCATTTGAATTACTTACAAACGTAAGGATATAGAAATTGTATATACTGTCCTAAGGATACAGCAACGGCAGCGACCGCTTCATACGCTCCCACATTGACTCGTCCGGCACGGGGTTCGCTATCCGATGCCATTCACCATTAAACGCGTTGACGAGCCAGTCCGAAAGACCTAGTCGGGTTAGATTTTGCGAAACAAAAAGCAGAGAAAGATGAGGGGGGGAACATACGCTCGTAGACCATGGTGTGCGCATTGTGAAAGTAGATGCTATGATCCGAGTCCGGGTAGAACTGCAGATCGTAGTTCTCGACGTTCGACAAGTCCAGCTTGTCGATTAACACAAGGGTATTCTGTAGATGGACGTTGTCGTCCGACGCACCGTGCATGACGAGGAAGCGGACGCTCTCGGACAGGGCGGCCATGTCGGATATCGTCGAGTTGTCGTACCCACTCGGATTGTGCTGCGGGGTGTGCATGTATCGTTCTGTGTAGATTGAGTCTGAGTCAATTAGTATGGTATTCCATGAGTAAAGAAGGCGGGGGGGAGGGGGGAAAGGATACCGTAGAACCGCCAGTCTGTGACGGGGGCAACGGCCATTCCGTACTGGAAGGTCTGGCCAGCATCTTGTTCAAGAGTCTTCAACGTCATGAACCCCCCAAAGCTCCATCCCCAGATCGCCATGCGGGTTTCGTCGACGTATGATTTTGCCGCCCACATCTTCGCAGTGGCGATTTGGTCGTGCGCCTCGTAAAAGCCTAGGTTACCACGGACGATGCAGCGGGCCTTGCGGCCGATGAAGCCTGTGCCGCGGCCGTCGACGGTCACGACGATGTAGCCCAGGCTGGAGGCGACGTAGGACTGGAAGTCAACGGTGAACTTGCGGTCCACGGTCTGCGAGCCCGGTCCGCCATACAGATAAAACAGGACGGGGTATTTCTTGGCCGGGTTGAAGTGTGGAGGGCGGCGCTCAACAAGCTGCAGCGTGTAGCCGTCGACGGTGACGTTTCGGTAGATCTCAGTCGGCAGCGCGTACGCCTCTACCATCTTGGCGAGCTGTGCGTTCTCTTCGATTCGGTCTTCGTACGTGATTCCGTCGCCTTGCGTGTTGATGATTGCCTGCCAGGGGATAGAGGGCCCTTTGTACGTGAGAAGCGCGTAGCCTGTGCCATGTGAAAAGGAGACGTCATAGTAGCCTGGTTTGGAGGTGTCGGTCAAAGGCTTAAGATTCGACCCGTCCAGCTGCACACGGTAGACATGACGCTGGGTGGGTGCTTCCCGCGTGCCGACAAAGTACACCAGGCCCCTTTGTAGATCTATGGCAGCCGGTGCGTCCACCACTTCCCACTCGCCCGATGTGAGCATCACGGGGTTGCGGCTATCGAGTGGCGTGAAGTATGCAAGGTGGTCATATCCGTTGTATGGCACGGTGTCAATGTACCCGTCGTGCGGTCGTCCATTATCAGGGTCCGCCGGGATGAAGCGTGTGGACCGCGAAGGCTCAACCCAACCACCGTCAAGACCGGCAACGTCTTCGGATCTGACCAGTTTGCCTCTCCTGGACTTGGTGTCGATCAGATACACCTTGAGAATGTCGCTTTCGCGGTTGGTCGATCTCACGAGGACTTTGCCCTCGGAGGCCCACAAGATCTCGATGATGATGCGGTCATCGTCGGCAAAGTCGTCTGCTACTTCGACCGAGAAGACCTCGTTCTTCTCGACATCGTAGAACTGCAGGTCAACCACTGGGTTCGGGCACCAGGCTTGGGATATTTGATCTGCCTCACGTCGGGGTAATTCTCAAAACCCGGGAGAGGCTTCTTCCCAGATGGTCGCGAGATGTAGTACTGCACCGGAAACTCAGGCACACTCGTCTCATTTGTTCTGAAGAAAGCAATATACTTGGCGTCATTCGACCACCATGTGACGCTGTTCCCCGATATCACTTCCTCCTCAGACACCCAATCGGGAACACCATAGAAAAGGTTCTCCCCGCCATCCTTGGTAATCGCGACAACGCTGTCCGACGAGAGTCTCCGCAGGTACAAATTATTGTCCCGAACAAAGGCGACTGCATCAGAGGCAGGAGACCAAAGCGCGAGCTGCACTCGACCATCCGGAGCGCTGGGATCCAGCGGTTGCGCTGTCTGAGAATCCACGTCCAACACCCAATACTTCCCGGTGAACGAGTGCCTCCAGTTCTTCTGCTGCTCGGATATCAACAGCACTTTCTTCAAGTCTGGACTCGGCCAGACGTTGCTGGGAATAATCGCCTTCCCGTCCACGTGCACGATGGGCTTCCTCATCAGCACCCTGCTCTCCCGACCCGTGTCATTGCCCTTTCGACTCCGGATATCATCCACCCGGAGATACCCCTGCTTCTCATCCCCGCCCTTCTCAACTAACAGACCGTCTTCATTGTTCGGCCCGCAACCCACCCGATCGCATGGTACCGAGGATTCCATTGCCCCGCGAGCACCTGCTGCAACGTGACAGGCTTGCCGGAGCTCGTGCTCGTGCTACCCAACGTCGAGTCGGCTCCGTGCGCCTGTAACGCGTCCGAAGCAGTCTGGTAGTTCGCTCGTCCCCCTGTTAAAAACAGGACAAAGGCAAGCAGCCAGCCTCCAAGGCAGAGAAGGACCAGGATCCAGAATATCCGCCGTGCTCGACCGCCTCCGGTGGCAGCTTTCTTGGACGACGCGAGGAATGGTTCTGTTTGTTCCGCCTCGCCGTCCTCGAGGTCGCGGTATTGGTCTTCGTCGGCTAGTGCCATTGTCTCTTTGGCGTTGGCGAAGGGTTTCTGTTCTCCTGGGAAGAGGGATTCGGTAGATAGACTCGAGTCGGTGGAGGTTTGAGATGCGGCGGATACGGATCGAGAGCGGGTCATGGGAAGACATTCAGAGGTTTCTCCATGGTCGTCGGATGGCCTCATTGTCACGGTGGTTGTAGGACAGTGGCTGCAGTGATTGAGTTACGATGTACATGTGACGGGTCACAGCAGATCGACGATAAGCAAGGATCCTTCGACGGATCCTTCGACGAGGTTGTGGCACTCAGGAAGGCTAATTTAAGCCGTCTATAAAAATATCATCAAACCAACAGGTAATTCATCGTCAAGCCATGGTCAATTCTTCGTCAGGAGACAAAGAAAGTCAAGGAATGGCAGTAGATTGGGAGTAGTGATGACTGATGGGAGTCTGGGGTAAGCTGTTGTTGATGGCGGCGATGCAGATAGCGCCTCTTGGCAGCCGATCAGATCTTATTCACCTTATTGACCTCCTTTTCGGGTATCTCGATCTATTCGCGATATCAATAATATCAACCAAGTCAAATTCCATCTATCTATTGCTACAGCTGATTGTGTTGCTTAGATACTGCAGGAACAGGATACCTCTTGTTAGCAATCCCTTGTATATCAAACCAAGCTGAGTATATCTCTACTTATACTTCAAGAATCAAGAACATACGACCTGAGGAGAAAAGGACTACTTTCGATATGTCAAAGACTTCATTAGAGACCAATGGTCTTTAGTAAACATACATGAATGCCTGCTCCGAGCGAGGAAACACAGATGATCCATATCAACCCAGTCCAGGTCCGTACACCTGTAAAATAGCAAATAAACTTCAAACTCCTTAATACATCTTCCTGGGTATACGCGAACAAGATACAAAGTGTGTCAATCAATAAATCCTGTCCACCGAATGAGCAACTTAACAGTGGATGGAATTAAAGCGAAGCCCAGCCGTATCGATGGCCAGCTTATAGGCCTGACCCTTGATGACGGCCCACGAATCCTCATCGAACATGGGCTGTTCTCTGAGCGTCTCAATAATGCTACCCACACAGTCATGGAATCGCTTTATTTCGACATAAGTAAACATACACAGGAGCGCGGTCCGTTCCTCGACTGTCGCAAGCTGGTAATCATCCAGCAAGAGAGGCTGCTGGTCCCTGCCCTGGTACGTCCGAACCAGGTGCTGATAGAACGCCCGGCATCTTTGCAGGATGGTCCGGCAGAGCAGATAGAGGAAGGTTCGGATGTAGTCCTTCCCGGAGCACCGCGTGCAGGTGCTCATGGGCTCGAGGGCGACGAGAGCGCGTCTGATGTAGTCTAGGCCGCACTCCTTGCTCTTCAGCGAGCTGAGTAGTGGGTTGCTGAGGTAGGCGACATCCAGGGAGTTTATGCCCTGTAGAGTACAGTCGCATGGGAAGAGCTCATCGTCTCCCAGGTCGAGGTCGATGGTTGGTGGAGGGGTGGCAGCTCGTTTAATTGCCTTCTTCTGGCAGGAACTCTGAGGAAGTGTCTCCATCTGGGCGAGGATGACCTTCAAACCCTTCCTGAAAGCGGTAATGGATTGGCCTTTCACGTTGTTAAGTAGCTGGGACAAGCGAAAGTTTGTAGTTTGGTATGAAGCGAGTGAAATGTTGATTGTTGCAAGTAAAGCGAACGACTGTAGATTGTCAGAGAGAGTTGAGAGTGAGAAGAAGAGACGAAAGAGTGTTCTCTGCAAGAGCAGCTATATTTAGGAACTACGACTCGTACCAGGAGTGAACCAAGGTAGAGCAGCTGTATCTGGCTTCAGCGAGTCAAAGTGACGACATTTGCAGAGTTCCTGACGATGGCAGCCTGAATGATCGGGCAGTACTCAAGCAAGTACTGGGATGCCGACGCTGCACAGAGATTGACTTGTAAGCACAGTTAGAGAGATTAGAACACAAGACAAGAATCAAGTGTAAGTTGTACGCAGCGTGAGAGTTATATGTATTGCTGGATCATCTATATTCTGAATCATTTGATTTTTGGGTAAATTACTTATCATAATACACCACATCTGATCCCTTCTGATTTATGTGCCTCCAAATCATCTCGACAGAGCGATATCATCAATTCTCATAATCATCTTAACCGTTTCAGCCGCAAGTTCGATGGCGCTGGTGCTCACCAAGAGCGGCTGCAGAATGTTCTCCTCCGTGATGTCGTCCCGCACACCGCCGCTACGGATGCTGACACCAGCATTGTGCTGGCCTTGAGCGTGGCGGTGACGCAGCTCCGTGACGACCTTGATCGAATTCAGACCAGCGTTTTCGGCCAATGTGGTTGGAATAACCTCCATGGCATCCGCAAACGCCTTCCAGCATATAGCCTCGGTGCCTGCGAGCTCACGGGCACGCATTGCCAAAGAGTGGGCGACCTCAATTTCAGGAGCACCACCACCGGCAATAAGGGCGCGCTTCTTGACCAAGCAGCGAATGACACAGAGAGCATCGTGCAGAGACCGCTCGGCCTCATCCAGAATCAGGTTGTTGGCACCGCGAGCGACGATAGATACGGTCTGGTTGGCGGCGGTGGCGGGTGTCTTGATGCCAGTGATCTTGACGTACCGAGCACCAGACGCATGGACCTCCTCAACAAGATCAGCAGTACCAAGTTTGTCCTCAGTGAAGGAGTCAATGTTGGCGACGGGCTTGCAGCCAAGACTCTTGCACAGGAACTCGACTTCATCCCGCTCAATGTCCTTGATGGCGAGGATCTTAAGTCGTGAAAGGAAGTGAAGGGAGAGGTCGTTGACGGCGTCACGGAGGATCGATTTTTGGATGAGAAGGACGTTGCACTTGGTCTTCTGGATCTTCTTGACCATGTTCAGGAGGTACTGGCGTTCTTCCTTGAGGATCTTGTCCATCTGACGGTAGTCGTTGACAACGATCTGGTTTTCCATCTGTAGTCATCCATACGTTAGCAACCTGTATCGTACTTTGGAGGTAGATACCACCTACATCAGGCTTGGGAGGACTGAGCTGGAACTGGATCAAGCCTATCCGGGCCTTCTCAATTCTTGTGGGGCCGCCGCTGCTCTTGATGACGGGCTGGTTCAACACGAGACCGTCAACCATCTCACTGTCCTCAATCGTACCGCCGACCTTCTTCACGATCCGAATGTTTCTCAGATCCACGTTCTCTGCTGTTTTAGAATCGATGACCTTGAGCACCGAATCCACGGCCATAGGACCAAGAAGGCCAGAGTGCTGCGATACGATCTTGGAGGATAGCGATGTAGAAGCGGCTTGCAGGAGAGTAGCACGGTCCATCAGGTTGATCGGGCGAGACATGTTCTGGAGGATTTCCACCGCAGCAGCGGCGGCTCGCTGGAAAGATTCGGAGATGATGGTGGGATGAATACCCTTGCCCAACAGGCGCTCGGCGGCTCCTAGCAAGCTACCAGCGATCACGACCACGGACGTTGTTCCATCACCAGCCTCGACATCCTGAGCAGCACTCAGATCGACAAGCATCCGGGCCGCAGGGTGCATCACGCTCATGTCTCTCAGCATCGTGTTTCCATCGTTGGTCTATGGAGGGGTTAGCGCCGAGCTGCATATTTCGGGACTGGAGTTCGTACGATAATAGTGTTTCCCTTGGGTGTTTGAATCTGATGACAGTTAGCATTGATCAACATGCATCTGAGGACAAGAACATACCATCTTATCCATTCCTCTGGGCCCCAGAGACTGTAAAGCCGTTAGCCCCTCACCTCCGACATATATGTGTCTCGAAATTACAAACCGTTCTGATGGCATCGGCGACGGCTAGAATCACATCAGCTATCATGTCATCCAGACGTCAAAACAATGGTAAATACCTCTAGCAGCCAGAATGTTGGCTGTCCGAACCGCCATAGGCTTCTCCTTATCCTGCGCGAGTATCAGAAAACGGCCCACAAGCAGTATTTGCTCCGTAAAAACCACCAACCTTGAAGGTAGTGCCAGGGGGCCCCTGGGAGACTGCGGTCGCCATTTTGAGTATGTCCGCGGATAGAGGCACAAAATAGAACTAGAAATTCAAAAAGGACACGGGTCGTGGTGAGGGAGGAGATCCAGCGTCTGGAAGCGGCTCTGGGAATTTCTTCGAAGGTGCTTTGGCGGTGGTGATGCTTGGCGGCCACTAGCGTCAACAGCTGGAACCCGTCGGTGACAGCACCTCAAGCTTGAGAGCTCGATCACATCACTTTCCCAATCAAGCTTCACCTCACACATCCATCTCTCAGACTCTTTCGACCTCATCCTTTCATCTTAATCCCTATTCTGTCACGATTATATTGACTTCTTTATTTTCGTTGCCTTCCTTGTCATCCGGTTCCGCAGTCCAGCCTCACCATGCCTAGCGCCACGGGAGCGAACTGGGAGAAGTACAAGAAGAACTTCGCTGACGACGAAGAGCCGGAGAAGAAGATCACACCTCTCACAGACGAGTATGTCGTGGCTGCGAGCAAGATGAGCTCTATATGAAATACATGAGGTGTCGGCTGATTATGAGACAGTGACATTCAAGTACTCAAGACATACGGCGCCGCTCCCTACGCGACCGCATTAAAGAAGCTCGAGAAGCAGATCAAGGACAAACAAGCGAGCGTAAACGAGAAGATCGGTGTCAAGGTTTGTTAAAGAGAGGTGCTTTTTTACCGGATCGTGGCTGACCTTGGACAGGAATCCGACACCGGTCTTGCGCCTCCACACCTTTGGGATGTTGCTGCAGATAGGCAACGCATGGCAGAGGAGCAGCCATTGCAGGTGGCTCGTTGTACAAAGATCATTTCCGACGAGAAGGATCCCGACAAGAGCAAATATGTCATCAACGTCAAGCAGATCGCCAAGTTTGTCGTGAATCTAGGGGAGAGAGTGAGCCCTACAGATATTGAAGAAGGCATGAGGGTCGGGTAAGTGGCTACAGTTTCTGTTGATTTGGCAATTCTGATTGTTTTTATAGCGTCGACCGGAATAAGTACCAGATTATGTTACCTCTTCCTCCTAAGATCGACCCTAGCGTGACGATGATGACGGTCGAAGACAAACCGGACGTTACGTACGGCGATGTTGGTGGATGCAAGGAACAGATTGAGAAGTTGAGAGAAGTTGTCGAAATGCCTTTGCTGTCACCAGAACGATTCGTCAACCTCGGTATCGATCCGCCCAAGGGTGCGCTGCTGTACGGTCCTCCCGGTACCGGCAAGACCCTCTGCGCTCGAGCAGTCGCTAACCGGACCGACGCTACGTTCATCCGTGTTATCGGTAGCGAGTTGGTTCAGAAGTACGTTGGTGAGGGTGCACGAATGGTTCGAGAGCTTTTCGAGATGGCCCGGACCAAGAAGGCATGCATCATCTTCTTTGACGAAATCGACGCGGTCGGTGGTGCTCGTTTCGATGATGGAGCTGGCGGTGACAACGAAGTCCAACGTACTATGCTTGAGTTGATTACACAGCTGGATGGTTTCGATTCCCGTGGTAACATCAAGGTCATGTTTGCAACCAACCGACCGTCGACCTTGGATCCTGCCCTGATGCGTCCTGGTCGTATTGACCGCAAGATCGAATTCTCGCTTCCCGACGTTGAAGGTCGCGCCAACATCCTCCGCATTCATGCCAAGAGTATGTCAGTCGAGAGAGACATTCGGTGGGAGCTGATCTCCCGACTGTGCCCTAATGCTACCGGTGCGGAACTACGGAGTGTTGCCACAGAAGCTGGCATGTTTGCGATCCGGGCGAGGCGGAAGGTGGCCACGGAGAAGGACTTCCTGGCCGCTGTGGACAAGGTCATCAAGGGCAACCTCAAGTTCAACTCGACGGCCACATACATGCAGTACAATTAGATGACGTCTTCTTTATGCATCTTGGGTTACATTGCATGGCTGGAGGGATGTATGATCAGATTTAGCTCGGTGATTCGGTCTATGATGCTCCTTAATATGATCTACTGTGCATTATCAGATGCCAACATACTCACGGCGTACGAGTTGTGTCCTACTAAGTCGTCGATCGATTGATATAGTCACGTGATTTCAATCCGAGGCATAGTCGATTTCCACCCATACTGGGCTGGACATTCGTTCAACTTTTCAATCTGGTGTAGAGAATAAAGTGTATCAGCTCATTGAATACTTGAAGCTCATCTATAAATCACTCCGTCTCAATCGTTTTCGCCGGCCACTCACCCCGGAATTCTTCGCTGCTGCCGGCTCAATAGAAGACCGGCCACGTGCCTTGTCCTTTTCGGCCAATGAGAAGCTCCCGGCTGCCCGAGGTGATTACTACTGCGCAATATCTGATTGGCTGCCTCGGCCCCGGTCCTCCCCGTCGGCAAGTGAGGGAAGATTATGTCAGCCAACTCTTCCTGTTCTTCTGAGAACCGACGATCCAAAAGTGCAGCTCGTGAATACTACCACCGGCTTCCGACCTCGTCTTGCCTGCTCTCCCCTCCTCCTCCCGCTACAGCTGCCTTGGTGCTGTTGGTCGTGCTCATCTAATAGCCTTCTCTCAGAGTCATATAAAATAGTGTCTTTTTTTCTTTTGATCCGCCCACAATGAGCTCCCTGAGCTTGCGGAGCCTAGCTCCCGCTTCGAAGGTTGGTTACCCGAGGGTCTTTCGACGACCCTTTATTCTATACGGTCGCCGTGCTGACTCGCATATTGCGCAGATTTCCCGTGCTTTGAGGGACCAGAGACGTCTTTTCTCCTCGACAAGGGCAGCAGGTACGCATTGAATCCCGCGAGGTTGACCTCCCCCGCTGTTCACTAACTCCGTTCTTCCAGCCCGCATATTCGCCAACGGTCCTTTGCGCGCTAAGGAGGCTACTGGTTACATTTCCTCGAAGTATCCTGTTATTGTAAGTGACTGTCGCATTAGCATGGCAACGAGCTGGGCTAATTGACGGTAGGACCACGAATACGATGCTGTTGTTGTCGGTGCTGGTGGTGCCGGTCTGCGTGCGGCCTTCGGTCTGGCGGAAGCCGGGTTCAACACTGCCTGTGTCTCGAAGCTCTTCCCTACAAGATCTCACACTGTTGCCGCTCAGGGTGGTATCAATGCTGCTTTGGGAAAGTATGTCAATGAAATGATGGAGTTGTATATTGGATGATTGCGCTAATCTCGATGTGCAGCATGCACCCCGACGACTGGAGATGGCACATGTACGATACCGTGAAGGGTTCCGATTGGCTTGGTGACCAGGACGCCATCCACTACATGACCAGAGAGGCTCCCGCTAGTGTTCGTGAGCTCGAGGGTTACGGATGCCCCTTCTCCCGTACCGAGGATGGCCTTATCTACCAGCGTGCGTTCGGTGGTCAGTCCAAGGAATTCGGCAAAGGTGGACAGGCCTACCGTTGCTGCGCCGTCGCTGATCGTACCGGTCACGCTCTTCTCCACACACTCTACGGACAGTCTCTGCGCCACAACACTAACTACTTCATCGAGTACTTCGCTCTGGATCTGCTGATGGAGGATGGTGAGTGCCGCGGTATCATCGCCTACAACCAGGAGGACGGTACCCTGCACCGCTTCAAGGCCCACCACACTGTTTTGGCCACTGGTGGATACGGACGTGCCTACTTCAGCTGCACATCTGCCCACACTTGCACTGGTGACGGTATGGCCATGGTCGCCCGTGCTGGTCTGCCCAACCAGGATCTTGAGTTCGTTCAGTTCCACCCAACTGGTATCTATGGTGCTGGTTGCCTGATCACCGAGGGTGCTCGTGGTGAGGGTGGTTATCTGCTCAACTCCGAGGGTGAGCGTTTCATGGAGCGTTATGCCCCCACCGCCAAGGACCTGGCTTCCCGTGACGTCGTCTCTCGTTCCATGACCCTCGAAATCCGTGAGGGCCGTGGTGTTGGTCCCGAGAAGGACCACATCTACCTGCAGCTGAGCCACCTGCCCGCCGAGCTTCTGCACGAGCGACTGCCCGGTATCTCCGAGACCGCCTCCATCTTCGCCGGTGTCGACGTCACCAAGCAGCCCATCCCCGTCCTGCCCACGGTCCACTACAACATGGGTGGTATCCCCACCAAGTACACTGGTGAGGTCTTGACTGTGGATGAGCAGGGTAACGACAAGGTTGTCCCCGGTCTGTACGCCTGTGGTGAGGCCGCCTGTGTCTCCGTCCACGGTGCCAACCGTCTGGGTGCCAACTCTCTCCTCGATCTCGTCGTCTTCGGCCGTGCCGTTTCTCACCGTGTCCGTGACATCGCTACCCCTGGCAAGGCCCACCGTGAGCTGAGCCCCGACGCTGGTGCCGAGTCCATCAAGGACCTCGACTTCGTCCGCAACGCCGATGGCCCCAAGTCGACTCACGAGATCCGTAACGCCATGCAGAAGACCATGCAGACTGATGTCAGCGTCTTCCGTACCCAAGAGAGTTTGGATGAGGGTGTTCAGAAGATCACTGCCATCGACAAGATGTTCGACCAAGTCGGTACCAAGGACCGCAGCATGATCTGGAACTCTGACCTTGTCGAGACTCTGGAACTTCGTAACCTGCTCACTTGCGCGTATGTATCCTTTCAGCTCCTGAATTTTCAGGTTAGATGCTAACAAGATGTCCTCTAGTACTCAAACCGCTGTTGCCGCCGCCAACCGCAAGGAGTCTCGTGGTGCCCACGCCCGTGAGGACTACCCCGAGCGTGATGATGAGAACTGGATGAAGCACACTCTCACCTGGCAGAAGAAGCCTCACAGTGAGATCGACCTCAGCTACCGCGCTGTCGAGCACAAGACCCTCGACGAGAACGAGTGCAAGAGCGTGCCTCCCTTCAAGCGTGTCTACTAGATACATTCCTCTACACTTGATGTGAAGTGTAATCTCGGCATTCATATGTCTTCAATGAGGCTGGATTTGCCACAGGATCCGGGTCAACCTCAACATAGGAACCACAGGCTTTTCGACCCATCAGCCCTTAATTTCGTTGCTGAGCTGTGGAGGATGGATTGATAAAAGAGCGTCATGAAAATTCTGCATTTCCCTGTGTTATATCTGTATATCCATGTTTTCCCTTTCAGGCGATGAGTTAGGTGTACTCACGTTATTTGTTTTCATAGCAGTTTCTCATCTACAATTGGAGTTTCTTTTGCGTCAGGATAGGGCTATCCAATCCAGTTTAGAATTCTTCAATATAACCGCTATACGGGAGTCTGGAAGCTAGTCTCTTAATTTTGCTGCCATGGTAAGTGACCTCGAGATTTCTTTGGCTTCGACTCTGGTACAAGATGGCCTAATCCGGTAGTGCAGTGTCTTCCCGGCCTTTTCTTTGTTTGCCAGTCCCTCATCTTAAGACAAAGAAAGAACTCCAGTGGCCCGTCGAGTGACTACGATTAGATACTGATCGTCAAAAAAAAAAAACATCAGCAAGTCAATCAGTTTTTATCCTTTCAACGGGCTTGGATTCAGGGATATCTAGCAGCTCAATCCTCACTAATGATGCAGAGCGCTGATCCTTCGAGTCCTAGACGAATGCCACTATTGCATCCATAGCTTTCTCTTCCCTTTTTTCGACTCCGACAGTGAAGAATGAGACGTCACCTGTCCTCCACTACGAACCCTGACTCCATAATCTCTGTGGTGGCTGTATCGGCTTGATAGGGTTGAATGGTTGTGCACCGAGTACCTCGCCCCGACTCAATATTTTCGGCAGACAAAGAACTCGAGTCATTAAGTCTTTGCCAATTCGTATGGCTCATTCGTTTTGGCGTGGAATTGTTTCAGAACGACTTGCATAGCCGTGCTTTCCCAGGAAAAGAAACAATGCTCATTGCACCTCATACTTTCTTTTAGCTTTCTTGGGCTCTAAACGACCACATGGCGCTCGACTCCATGGTAACCACTGTTGCCAGTGACCTCTGAAGATCTCGCTCTTCATGCGTTTGTTGCTATCTTCACTTCGTTTTAAATCATTAATTCTATCTTCTGGTAGTCCAACTGCTGCGTATAGTGACTTAGTTGACGTCTGTCGTCTAAGAGATGACTCTCCATCTCGCCCTCGCCCGTCAAGCCAACACTTGCACCGGCAGCAAGCAATGGTATGTTTGCTCCAAGGGCAACTTCCGTGGCTGTTGCTCAGTCGATCCGTGCAATACGGGTGTATGCCCGGATCAAGAAGAGCAGACTACATCGTCGACGTCGACTACTTCAACCACCTCGAAAACGGCCTCGACTACAACGGCGACCTCGCCAACGACAGCTATCACCACTGCACCGTCTACAAGCTCGCAGGGAGACATCCCAGGGATCATTCCGACTCGGACTACGACTCAGGCTGTTGCGCCGGCGACAGATACTGATGCTGCGGATGCGAATCCTGGCCATGACCACGGCGCATTGATTGGGGGTGTTGTGGGAGGTGTACTGTCTTTGATACTGCTAGCCGGGCTGTTATTCCTGGTCTATCGGTCTCGCAAGAAACGTGGTAAACGGTTCGTTTTGCTGCGCTGGCGTGTCCCTCGCGAGAGCCCTGAGAAAGCGTCGACGGTTGCAAGCGGTAGGGGGATTGCGTCAGGGAACGAGGGACGATTACTTGATGGTGAGAACAGCCCCCTATATGAGTTTTACTCAAGTCCCAAACCTGACGTGCTTCATGCTTAGTACCAAACAGCAACATACCATCCCACGCAGTCGTCAACCAAGCCCTAACGGTCCCCGGCTCAGACCGAACTTCCGCAACCTCGAACACCATAAGCCAACCGTCTTACGCGAACATAAACACAAGTAAAGTCTCAGCAACGGCTCAGACAACCCACCATAGCTCCGTATCCTCGATACCACCAGCATCATCCACACCAAGCCACCCCTCCCCCGATGTCAACCTCAACCTCAGCACAAACACAAGCACAAGCCCAGCACCACCCCCAGACAGAGCAGACACCACCCCCGAACTCTTCGACACAGGCTTCTACCGCCAACGCGCCGAGCTAGCAGCCTACTCCCAAAGCGAACTAATCAACATCCCTCCCGAGCGCCGGCAGATGCAGGTGCCCCCCGCGCAGCATACCAATTCCGAGATAGACCAGCCAGCTCAGCCGCAGCTGCCGTCCATCATCACGTCGGACGGGGTGATCCTGGGCGCGAACTTTGATTATAGGGTTCCGGGGGATGACCCGTATCCCGGTTCTGGGGAGGGGATCGGTCATGTGCTTAGTTTTATGCAGTTTGAGGAGGGAGGGGGGTTAGAGCGGAGGGAGGAGTGGAGGAAGAGTTTTGAGAGTGGGACCGGGGTGTGAGTTTACGTATGTTTGGTGCTGTTGGGGGGTGGTTGGGGGGCTGTTCTGTCCTGCCTCGGTGATTGTATACCATAGTTCTAGTGTTGGTTGCTTTGATGTATTTGATTGATCTCGTGTATTTCTTTTTATACTGTTGGTGGTAAATGTTATATAGATTAATTGTTGACTGGGAGCGAAAACCGAAATATATTCTATATACTACTAAAACATATAACCCGAAAGACCTAGCTTTTCATTCCCGAAGACACAATATTGCAAAAGATCATATTCTTACAGCAAACCCCTGAGAACGGCGGTTTGCTCCAGCACGGCACGGCGGCTGGTACCGCCGACTGCATCCTTCAATTCAACGGCACGCTCGTAGTCCAGGCAAGCCTGGACATCTTCGTCGAAGCGTGCATCAACCGTCTTCAACTGCTCGAGCGATAGCGTGTCCATGGGGACGTTGTTCTTCTCGGCCAGGGCGACGACCCGACCGGAGATGTGGTGGCCCTCGCGGAAGGGGACGCCCCTGCGGACGAGGTAATCGGCGATTTCGGTGGCCAGCATCTCGGGCGCCAGGGCGGCGGTCATCTTCTCCGGGAGGACGGTGAGGGTTGATAGGACACCGGTGGCGATCTGGATGCTGTCGCTGACGGTCTTGATGTGGTCCAGCAGGGGCTCGACGCTCTCCTGCAGGTCCTTGTTGTAGGTGGTGGGGAGACCCTTGATGGTCATCATCAGGCCGGCCATGTGGCCGAAGGCACGACCGGCCTTGCCACGCAGAAGCTCCAGGCTGTCTGTTCTCGTTAGTTTGAGGTCAAGAAATGACAGTAAACAAAAACAACTCACCTGCATTCTTCTTCTGAGGCATCAACGACGAGCCGGTCGAGTACGCGTCAGACAACCGGACGAAACCAAACTCCAGACTGCTGTAGATGATCAGATCCTCGGCCCAGCGAGAGATCTTGAGCATGAACGAGCTCCCCCACTGCATGGTCTCCATGGCAAAGTCGCGGTCGGCCACCGCGTTCATCGAGTTGTACAGCAGACCCTCGAAGCCCAGCTCCGCGGCCATTGCCTCCCGATCGATCTGGAAGGGGTTTCCAGCCAGAGCTCCGGTGCCCAGGGGGCTGCGGTTGACACGCCGGGTGACCTCCCGCAGACGCTGCAGCTCACTAGCGAAGGCCGTGGCATGCGACAGCAGCCAGTGGCTCCACCGGACAGGTTGGGCCTTCTGCAAGTGGGTGTAACCGGGCATGATGAAATCCAGCTCGTTCTCGGCGCGCGCGATGGACACCTTGATGAGGTCACATAGGACGGCGTCCAGCTTGCGCAGCTCATCCCGCAGCCACAGGCGCATGTCGGTTGCAATCTGCTCGTTGCGGGACCGGCCGGTGTGCAGCTTTCCTCCGATCTCCTTGCCGATGATCTCGGAGAGTCGGCGCTCGTTGGCTGTGTGGATGTCTTCGTCGTTCTCCTTGACGACGAAGGTGTTGGTGCTCCATTCCTCAGCGATCTGCTTGAACCCGCGCTCGATTTCAGAGAACTCGTGCTGGGTCAGGATGCCGCTCTTGGTGTTGGCTCGGGCGAAGGCAATGGAGCCGGCAATATCCTGCTTCCAGAATATACGATCGTAGGGAAGGGATTGGTTGTACTGAACCATTAGGGGGTCGAGGCCCTCTAGGAGTCAAAGATAAGTAGGTTAGTTGTATTCGGAGGAATTGACACTGCGGTGGGGGTACTCACGGGTGAATCGACCACCCCAGAGCATGTTCTCTGCGACAGCCTTGGGAGCACTCATTGTGGAAGCTGTAAAACGAAGGAATTGATGAATTGAAGAGGAAAATGGTGCGAGAAGGAGGTGATGGACGAGGTCAGAGTCCAAATAATTATTCGGTGATTCACACGGGGAGCGACATCGGCGCTAACCGGATGGGGCCGACTCCTATCAACAATGAGTCACAACTTACTCTAATTCGACTCAATGCTCTAGCCATAGCGTTGATTTCCTACTCATGCGCTTGATAAATTTTGATATTCTGGTAATATGAGCTCTCATGTTGCCATACGAGCGTTGCAGTGGTCCGCCGTCGAAGTACGGTTGGAGACGAGTTCAACCGCCATGCTAATTAATCAATCTCCATCAATTGACTGACGCAGCAAAGATTATCGTCTGAGGCTGCAAGGTTACTGTCACATTGACAGATATGATATGATACGCAATATATATGTGATGCGGATGTTCTGACAACACAGTACAGGTCGACGACGGATACTATTCACGGTGATAGCAAGCAGAGCCAAAAGCTAGAGGAGATCTTGAATCAGACACAGCAGTCAAATGACACAACAACTGGAATGATACAAAACACATCTATGATGGTACATGGTCAAACTGCCACTGCTGTCGCAAAATAAATCGCCTGAAGTTGTGCGAGAGGACTCCTGTATACAGCTCTCAGGACCAATCAGGTAGCCCGAGCATCGGAGACAGAAACTGAATTCATAGACTAGATCAGATCTCGACTACTTCTGCCGCTGGAGAAGCGCAACAACATCAGGACACGGTAAATGAGCTTGTCAAGCTCTGGTTCGCTAAAGCTACTTGCTCGAGGAAGACACGATGGCAAGAAACTGATCTACCACGCATTGGATAGTTGCATTGACCAAGTTTTCTCCCGGCTAGGAGGGATCCCAGCCCGATGCACGCAAGCCATAGAAGAATCTGATGGTGAGCATACAGAATGGGGAGAAATTCAAGGCCTTTAGCCGTGCTTGAATAATCAAATGTCTCACGACCTGCCTCTTATTCTTATTCCACTACTTGTGATGTGAAAGATTGCTGGAATCCCAGAGAATCCCTTACCAGTGCAACTAACTAAAGTACTGCAGAGTACAGGAGCACAGCGACAGATGTCAACAGTTTGTAAACAGGGGATGTAAGGTTAGCTCCTCATATGAATTAGCCACAGCGTGCCCCTATAGAGTCTTTTTCTCATCATAATGCGGTGTATCTACCCCTTGCTTGTGGCGGCAACTCTGATATCCTTCGAAGGAAATGAATCAAACAGATCTCCAGCCAACGGTTCCAATCTTTTTGTCCACATGGATATGCAATGTACATACTGGCTTTGCATCAAGCAGAGGTGGACGGATGGGAAGTAGTGACAGTCAAAGAACGAGAGACGAGGTCCTTCAGCTTACATGTTTGCTACCTAGCAAAGACCACTATTTAGCAAACAAATGTATATTCCTGACAGAGCCTGGCAGCATGTATTGATTTAGCGCATGCGTGCTTGATTCTCTGTCATGGTTGAAGCTATGCAATCCGGCAGAAGGCTCAGCGAGCTCTGCCTCATACGGATATATGTATGTGATATTCTCCCAGACAAGCCACCTCCTCACTGAATCTGCCCCAGACACAGCTATCCTTCTCTTGAAGTATGATATATCTATTCCACTCTATATTCCGCCATTTTAGAGGGTATACTTTGTGCCTTCCTCTTCTTCTCTTCGTGCTTAGAATTTGATTCCAATGCTCCCATAGTCTCCTGCCCGGGCCCTATAATATACACCTCAACCTCATTTTGTACAAAGTAATGATACCCCCTGCCCGGCCTAGCGGCGTCTGACGACTCTGTTGGTGGGCTAGTCCTTCACAGCATGCATTTATTGGGCACCGGATTAGCTTGCAATTTGACTGGACTCACTGGGGTAAAACACAGCCTTGCTGCTAGCCTCGTGGAGCTGATTGCCCCTCCTCCACGCAAATCACCTGCAATAGAATGTACTGATAACGTCCACTGCATATAAAGGAGAGACAGCAAGCGTTGTATGTTGTTATGCTATATCCTCAGTGACTCATGAGAATGGCCCCCCGAATACTATCACACAGTGACTACACGGTGGCATGGATCTGCGCTCTGCCGCTGGAAACACCAGCGGCGAAAGTCATGTTAGATGAGGTTCATGCTTCTCTGTCCCAACCAGAAACCGGTCACAATGTCTACACTCTCGGAAACGTTGGCGGCCACAAATGTGGTGGTGGTCTGCTTACCAGTTAGTGTATACAGAACGGTATCTGGTTCGACTGTGGTGTCACACATGGTTTCTACCTACCGAAACGTCCGATTTGGATTGATGGTCGGCATTGGAGGCGGAGTGCCCAGCAAAAGAGCTGATATTTGCCTTGATGTTGTGGTTAGCAAGCCAACTGCTACCTCAGGCGGCGTTATCCAGTATGACTACGGCAAAACACTCAATGGAGGACATTTTCAGCGCACTGGATCCCTCAACAAATCTCTCTAATCTTGTTAAAGGGGGTTGGCTGAATTGGAGCGCGACTATATGACCGGAAAGAACCTAGTCAGCAAAATCAGAGGTGGTGCACTGCAGAAATGTTGGTGAGAGCCATGGTATGGTTAATCATGAATCATATCCGTGGATTTAACTATGGTTGAACCTAGATTATAACCATGAATCCAATTGCCTGGATCATCATCGATTTCAACCATTAGCGAATAGTGGCCGAATCTATGAGGTCATCCGATATTCGAATGGCCTAGGCTAGAAGGAATCCCCTATAAATACACCCTTGAAATCACCCTATAGCTAGTTAAAAAAAAAAAAAAGGTCAATTAAGTGATGAAGACGTTAAGCTAAGGCATCCTTAGCTATTCTATTCTTCCGTTATCCTTGATCCAAGGCAATTCTTTATACCTAGGTCTACCCTAGGGATCTATTTTATTGATCATTCATTGATCAATATCCTTTCATACCCATATACTACGTCTATACCTAGCAGACTATTCTATCGACTAACCATTAATCGATATCCTGAGCCTATAAGAAGCTATATTTAATATGGCATCTATTGATGAGATCGGCTTACCAAAGCTACGAGGCTCAGATAACTATATAACCTGGTCTATCAGGACTAAGGCTATCCTTGAAGAGGAAGATCTATCCTCTACTATAGAGGAAGATGCCTCAGGCAAAAAGAATGATAAAGCATTAGCTATTATACAACTATTATGTGAAGATGGACCCCTTCTTCATATAAAAGATACAGATAAGGCTAATGTGGCCTGGATAAGGCTTCAAGATCTCTATAATCCTAAGCGATTTACTACTGAATACCTTACCTTAAAGGATTTCTTTAATACCACATTGGATGATTTCCAATCGATGGAAGAATATCTTAATAAGGTTAAGGCATTAGTAGATGACCTAAAAGAAAAAGATATCATTCTGCCTGACCACTTTATAATAGCCTGGGTGCTGAATAGTCTAGGCAATGAATATGAAGGGTTTATATCTAATATAACCCAGGCCCTAAGCAATGACCCTGAAGCCTATACTATTGAATCCCTATTTTCTAGCCTTGCAGGTGAGGCAAGAGGAAGGGGAAATAGTTATAATAATAATAGCCATAGGCTATTATACACTAAGGCTAAGGGTAAATCCTGTAAAAGACCTTCCTTAGGCAGATACTGCCAATATTGCAAGCTTACTAGTCATGATACTAGTAGCTGCTATTTCTTATTCCCTAATAAGGCACCTAAAGGGTGGAAGGAGGGAAATAAGAATAAGATGAATCAAAAGGATATGAAGGTTCAGAAGAATCAAAAGAATCAGAAAGGACTAAAGGATAAGGATGCCCTAGCAGCAGTCCTATCAAGTCTAGATTCTGATGTCTTAAATGATTCCTCAAATATGGAAGTGACGAAGAGCCAGAAACAAGTGCTAGGGCAAGAGCACCTTGACACTCTGCTTAACATGGCCAACTTGGCATCCATATACTGGAACCAGGGACGATGGAAGGAAGCAGAGGAGTTGCAGGTGCAGGTAATAGAGATGCACAAAAAGCTGCTAGGACCGGAGCATCCACACACACTGCTTAGCATGGCCAACTTAGCATCAATGTACTGGAACCAAGGACGACAAAAGGAAGCTGAGGAGCTGCAGGTCCAGGTAACAGAGATGCACAAAAGGCTGCTAGGACCGGAGCATCCACACACTCTGACCAGCATGGGCAACTTGGCTCTCTTCTGGAAATCCCAAGGGAAGACTCAAGCTGCATCGGCTCTCCTAGAACAATGTCTTGCACTCGAGAAGAAAGTCCTGGGTCCAGGCCATCCAAATACCTTGATCTCTTCTCGCATTCTCGGGGAGTGGAGAAAAGAGGACGGCCCCTTATCAAATGATCACCCGCTACAACCTGCTCAGCCTGAAAGTGATCACATCCCGAGGCGACCCGGTGTGGCGGTCACTGCGCCAGATAATGAAGAGCATACCGAACGTACGGGAAGGCACTAAAAGTGACTAGGATTAGTAACCCCTGCAAGACGACTCCTTGAAAAGCGGTCTTTCATGGCTTCCAGAAGCATTTCACCTGCGCCGCGAACTTATGACTGGGAAGACGTGGATTGAGTAAGGCGGATCTTACATGTTGCGTGGAGGGACGTGTCCTTTTCATGTATAATCATGGAAAATCGTGCCCAGGGTGGAAAGAGAAGATAGTTTCGATAATTCCTCACTTGAAATCAACAAAAGGACAACGTCAGAGGCGCCATTTTGAAAGCTTGCCGAGTATTGTTGGATATTTTTTCTTCCATGTTTGTGCATCTGTGCGTCTGGGAGCTGGCGAAAAGTATTAACTGTTGTATACTAGTCAAGGCTACACCTGTGAAGACACCACAGCTGATCCCTACATCGTTTTCCTCTATACAGACGAGTCCTCCAATTGAAGCAAGACAGCACATGTCTTTTCTGCATCAGAGCTGCCTTATAGGAGATCACCACCGAAGTATAGTGTCCTGAAAGTTTGATGGATGTGAAGACAAGAAGTGTCTGAGCAGGATGATGACGGAAAGCCATGAACACTGCGTCAAGTGATCACCTCAATATCTCGAAGTTGTCCGCATCCTACCACGCTGTCTGACAACGGTGGCATTAGTACGCCATCGTAGGCCCTTTGTTTCTGCTCTATTGCTTTGCTCATACGGCGTTCCAGCGTTCCAGCAATTTAGAGAAATTGTCAGCCATTCTGTGCTAGTTATGATTGATGTTTCAAAATAACGTACACTAGTAAAGTTCGGAATCAAATGATGGCGTTCGGAACTTCGGATTCGTCATCTGATTGATCAATCTGCCATCTTCGATATATTTCGATGATATGGAAGGTTTATCGAGAGAGTGTTTACCATCCAAATCCGGTTTGCGCGGGTTGAACGGAGTATATCATCGCTTCACTTGGGAACCCGCAAACTGCACCGTCGCATTGACGCCTCGTTTCTATTGCAGGCCCTCCTTGGAATCTGTTCCCCTGGCCTAGCTTGATATGCATCGACATGATGTCTTGTACTACAGGTATCTCAGGTGTCGCAATCTCAATGATCTATACGGACAGAGACCGTGTCGGAAGCCTGACTGACTGGCCTCTTACTCTTTCTCGGACGCTGGCTCGGACGCTGACGATGGCAACCATTTCGATTCGCATGAGTGGTTTGCTCGAATGGGACTTGATGGTTCATTCATCGCACCAGACTCTGACTCGGATGATGACTTTATGTACTACAACAACCGCCCCATCTCCGTCCCCGAGGAGTTCGAGGAAAGGGAAAAGCGCAGAGAGGGCTACGTCGTGGATTAAGGGCTGGGTGCGGAATGGGTGGCGGACGAGTAGTGGGACTCCGGCCAAGAATAAGGATCTGTGGAAGTGCTTGTTGGGATGGTGTGAGGATGCGGCTACGACTCGGGCGAAGACGAAGCTTGAGTTCTGGCGGATCCCGCGCGGGTGGAATGCCAAAGCAGATGGATGGGCTAAACTTGCTGCTGATAAGGATGTGAAGCCGACGACCTTTATGAAGTCGACGGGTTATCTGATTTAGGATTGCTTCTCTACCGTTGCCCTAATATGAAACAGGACCATCGTCCAAGTATTGTCTGTAAAAGGACAGCATAGCTGGAAGTCATCTGCTTCTGCATGATTCTATCAGCTCTGCAACTCGACCACCGTCCACGTATTCGTCCATCCAACCTCTCCTCCCAGTTTCTCCAGAACCCGCCGACTGGCCCCGTTCGTCGCAAGCACATTCGCATGAACCCACACCTCACCTTCTTCGCCAACCTCCCGCCAGATCCCTCCTTCCGCCATCCCACGTTGCATCAGCCCGCGCGAAAGCGCTTCAGCGATTCCCTTGCCGCGATGCTCTAGCTCAACAAACAATGTCGCCAAACTCCCGTCAAGGCCGAGAAAGACCCACGCGATGGGTGTCTCCTCCCCCTCTCCAGGGCGATCAACATACACAGCCACTCCCGGGATCCTGGACAGTGTCTCGTCCGAACGGGGCAGATGCGTCCGGCTACGCACCAGCGCATAGTGGTGTGGGAGGACTCCCATTCGCCCTTGACGGTCCTGGAACCGATACCCGGGTGGTAGTCCTGTATCTAGCTTTCTAGATGGTGAGTGCGAGTGCACAGTCCGAAACAGGTACTTGACATATGGGGGATTATCGTAGCGGTGGATCCGGATACCTGGTACCGTCTCCGGGTCCGTGTAAATCCCCGACTGCTTCAGCAAGGCCATGAGGCCAGTATGCAGGTTTCCAATGAGAAATGCCTGTGGCGGTGGGGCGGGATCTGGCCCGGTGCGTTGGGAGGGCCAGGATCTACGCTTGGGGCAGTAAGAGAGGCCAGGTACCCCGGCAACAACGCTGACTTGGTATACGAGAGCAAGGCCAATAGTTGTGCGCGAGCCAGCGCTAGAGTTTCGGGGGGACCGTGGAGAGTGGAGATGACAGCAGGATCCTTGTCATCATCATCAACAGACTCCCGCTCGAGACTCGAATAGAGGGTCATCTGCGTCTCTCGCCCACGTGGAAGATCCACATACGCAGCCAGCCATGGTCCAGAGGGAGGCTCGACCCCTGGAAACGTCGTCAGCAGTCTGGCCGTCTTTGACGGGAATGCCAGGTTGTGCTGCAGACGCCGGAGGAGAGGAATCGAATGAGGCAGCTGGGATTTGAGCAGGGGGAGTAGTGCCCGGGGATCATCCTGGACGGTGATCTTATTAAACCCCGAAGAAAGCCTTTGTTCGCCGACTGTCATCGTCAATTGATTTGAAAACAGTGCGGGGAATTCATGAATTCACTGGCACCCGAAAGGCTGAAAACCAACCGCTTACAAGGTAGTTACAGAGTACGCTATTGAGTCATCGCTAATGAATCACTAGTTAACTAACTAACTAGTTAGTTAGTTAGTCTATCCCCTGACTAACAGCTGTCGCGAAGCTTGGCTCCCGCCCTAAAGATATAGTCGCACAGTATTTGTCATTCTGATTACCAGGATAGGCGTGTTGGCTGCACATCACGATGCCCAACTGTGGCGGTGCAGTGCAATTGCAGTAGATCTGACAGGTCATTCTCTTTTCATTTTCACTTTTCATTTTTCACTACTTACTATTTAGATACCCTGAATAGGGATTATTATTGGAGGCTGAGCTGACTGTAGTCCTGCTTGGCTTGCTTACTGGAATTGTGTACCCTGTTAATGCCAATAGTTCGCACGGTGCCCTGTTTAGCGTCCTTGTCAATGTCATTTCCATGTTGTCTTGGATTTAGGAAAAGGGGGATGCGGATTCGTGATTATTTTCCGAGCTCACAGTTCTCTCCTGTGTTTGGACGTTTGTAGGATGGGCTGAGATGAGGTGTAGATAATATCATTGTAATTGTAATTGTAATTGTACTCCTCTGACTACAGCGGAATACGAAAGAGGGTATAGAACGATAGACAGTAGCTGTACTCTGTACGCTCGGCGTGGATATGGATATCGATAACAAAAGAAATATGTAGACTAGCGAGTGACAAAAGAAAAGGAATATCATGAATCATAACTCATGAGCATCACCCCCCTACCACTACCCTACCAAGGCCTCCTAGGCCCCAACATCCAATCCTCCATCGCCAACCACTCGCTCCACCTTGCATCCGCAACCCTTAGCTCTTCCTCCGTCGGCTCACGCAGCGGACTCAGAAACGGCACCTGCTGATCAGGCAGAACATCATACGCGCTCTTCGTCGACGCCCACCCGCCGCTCTTCGCCGCGAACAGATAATTCAGCCGCTCCTGCTGCCGGATCGCGCCCACGCCCGCTACCCAGTCCTCCCCGAAGAACAGGCGCAGGTTCGCAGGCGTATCCTGGCCCGTGGCGATCAGGCGGCGGATGTAGACTCTGGCGGAGACGGAGGCTGCGTCCGCGCTCTCGCCTGGTAGTCTGATATTCAGAAAGCAGGCCACGGCCTGCACGGCGGGGCTGTGCTGGCTCTCTGCTAGGAAGAAGCGCATGCAGGACAGGTACCGCTGGTGCCAGTCATTCAGGTCCAGGGTGGAGAAGTCAGGGTGAGCGTCTGTGACAGTCTCTGGCTCAATCTCTGGCTCCGGGGCGTGGCCCGGGGCATGGCCCGGAGCGAGGGCAGCCCATGCTGATGGAGACGGGGATGGACACTCGGTTACTGAGATGGCGGAGAGGTTCGCGCGGCTGCCGGAGGTGCATTCAGTCTCCATGTCCATTGACTCTGGGAGGATCTCAGAAGGTGTTGTCTCAGAGTGGGGTGCTGGGGGCGGGGGTAATCCATGGGATAGAGACAAAGGCAAGCAGAGGCTGAGGGGACTTACTTGCGGGGTGAGCTTGCTCGTCCGTATAGGGAGAACTTGGCCAGTAGTCTCTGGCGGAAGCCTGAACGTGCAGTGTCATGTTTGATATGGGACATGAATGATGAGTAACCAAAGTTCAGGTTTGGTTTCATCTGTTGAGTAGCTTAGTCTCGAAGTAAAACAAGTGTGACGAAAGCGAGCGAGGAGGGCATCTTATAGATCTCACGGCCCCATCCCGAGATACGAAACGAGACGGGCATGCCGAACCAGGCATGGAACGGGAAAATGAAAGAAGCTTCATTCGGTCTCGGCAGATAGTTTGTGTGCACGGGTCTGGCAAGTGGAGTTTACTATGTCGAGTAAAAGATCACTGATCTGACGAAGGTGAATGCTTTTTTCGAGCAGACTAGTAGGCTGTCTATCGATCAAGGGATCAAGCCACATCTGCACCAGCCACATCGATCAAGTCGCTGTTGAGCCACCTCTTGCTTTGGCGGCCCTAGAACGTGGCTTGACCAATAGTATTGAGTCTCATAGACCGTAGGTGTGTGGCTGTGCACTGCTTTGTCATGCAATGGTGGATATTGCAGCCCAATAATCTGCAAGTCCGGACATGAGCGAACGACGTATCCCTCTCTGCTGATCCCGAGTACCTGGACGGGCATATCACACTAGAGTAAATGATTTGGAAGACTCAGGCACTAACCCTCTATCCTTGTAGATCCTCGAGTCTACTGAACGCTGCTTTGGCTTATCATGATCACTATTGATTTAGGGCCTGGTCCGATCCATACCCCAGTGGATAACGCCACACCCTGTTGGATAACAACACCCCTGGCTCAGTCGTAAACAGTCAATATGTCACATGATCTTCGCAGTCCACATCTGTAGGTTCGGGGTCTACCACGTAATATGGACAGCAACTAATGATTAAATAGAGTATCAGTTAGTTTCTAATGCTATACTATCATTCTACAGCTAAACGAACCGATAACAATCTAATAGACCATTGCGGGCGCCGCTGAAGGGAGGGGCCGAGGGAGGCCCCTCCCTGGTCTCGCACTTGGCGGGGACTTTATTAGATAGGCTAGATCTAGATGACATATACTGATCATTAATAGTGTTAGATTGGTAGATTGTATTATTTAGGAATGTGTGCATTGATCTTATTCAGTCTGATTTATGTTAGAGTTCGATTTACATATCATGTGACTATAAACACCCTGTTAAGGATCAGGGGTGTGGCGTTACCCACCGGGGTGTGGCGTCCTTGATTATTATTTAATCTAACAGTAATAGTCAGGGATCCCTCCTCAAACAATGTGACAGATCTGTTGTAAATTCATCGGGTACACGCGGTCTAGTCGGGCTTCCATCTGGACAATAGGGCAGCAGGGAAAGATTCTTCAAACACACATGGTGGTCAGCGTGGACCAACAGTAAGGCTCAGGTGATACTACAAGGTAACAGGAATGCGGCTAACACGAGATGGAGACGTAACATGAGACTCAGGAATTGTATTTGTACAACGCAGCAACGTCGAACGTGGTCTGGCTGTGACGACTCTGATACTCTGGGGGTGTACGGACCATGCAAGGGGCACTCACTGGTGCAGAACTGAAGTTGTAATGGAAGACGACGTCAATCTTTCTAGGAGGGTAGGTACTATATCCAGAGTAATTGTAATTGGGATCAATAGAGAGGTAATGATGATGTCTATATTTGTAAGGACCAATGACTTAACGGGGACAGGCAAGGTAAACAGGGCAACGGGAACCACTAGCTGGGATATTGGAGTTTGGGACTGGGAAGCACGGTGGGACTGCGGCTGGACAGTCAGCAAAGGTCTCTAACAACTAATATTAATCTCGCTCGGCTCTTCCCTGATCGAGCAAATCGACCGATCAATGACATTATTCTCTTAGGAAAACTATGTACTAGTCTTAGTCTAACAGGCCGAAACGATCTGAGAAGACCAGGTACCAGCCAATGGCAGTCCCCACCATACTATTCCCAGTCAGGCGATGGATGAGATCATGACTCTGTCAAACACAAATCACCACCAATGATTTTCTCCTGGGCGAGGGGGAAAAAGCAAAGCCAACACAGATCCAGGGTTCATGACATGCGCACTGATCTACCCCACCACCACTACATGATGGTGTACCTGGATTGTCGTAGAGTGGCTGACTTGACCGGCCTCCACCAGCCCAACCTTCTCGCCTCATGCAGGGCACAACAAGATGAAAGATATATAGCCTTCAATCCTTTCCAGGAGTCATGGAAGTTTCAACCTCAAAAAGTCAAAAGTCAATTCAAACCATCTTATCAATTTTCCTCCTCCACGTTGGCCATCATGTGCTACAAGTCCAACTATGAGCCCTATGTATGTCTTCCCTCTGTACCTTAAAAAAAAACAGCACCGTACTAACAATCACCAGACCAGTCAAAGCCTTGACATCAAAAGGGCAGAAGACCTCTCGTCAGAAGAGCTCCTCAACCCATTGGGTTCCCTCTATCCTCACGTCGTCGCCCTTCAACTCCAATCCGACGATACCCCATGGATCCGCGCCAAAAACTCCCCAGGCTATCAAGACCCCAATTCCGGGGCCGACATATACTCCACAGAGGATTATTCCAGACCCTCGGCGCGCAGAAACAGTGGTGAGTTTAGTCTATCTATCACAATTTGATCTATCGTTGCGGAAGACATAAGGCTAACATGACTCAGACTCCACAGCCTACCGCTTCGTCTCGCGAATCCGCCGATTTCTCACCCGAGATGAGATGAGGCGCCGCCAGCGAGCTGCATAGTTTCTTCGCTTCTTCTTCACCGTCTTTTCTTTTCTTTCTTCCATTTCCCAACTTAAAGTTTGATCCTTTGAGTGAGACCTGCAGGATCGGTCTCTACATGAAAGTTTCAGAGTGTCTTGTCTCGAATTTTATTTCCTTTGTCTGCATCAATCCTTCATGTGTCAGCTTCAGTTTCGGTCTCGGACTCGGTCTCGGGTATGTTTTGTTTTGTTTTGTTTCACCATCAGGGTTCAAATTAGCGAGGAGTTCAGGGCTCTCAAGCAAGGAGGGCAATAGCATCGTCACGAGCATATTAGTTAATGTCTATGTCTGAGAACAACATGTCAATTCAGATCAAAAATCTTATCAAATTCTAACCCAATCAAAACGTGTACGAACACCCTTCCACAATCCATGCAAAAGATCGTTCTAGTCTAGGTTTAGACGCCTCACAATGCCGTTCTTCCAGATCACATAGACATACAGCCTACAGGTCCTCTGGCTAGCGTGCATGCAAGCAGCAGGGTTAGCCGACCAATAAGATCGATATCGTTCGGTGTTCGCTTTACGCGAGTAAATTGCTTTTTGCATTGGAATGTATCAGTGTCGGATGGACACCAATTGTCAGATTGATACGATAGAAAACACGAGGGTGAGTCGGTGTGTTAGCTTTCGTTCCCTGATACAAGCCGAGTAAGAAACTATACCCGAGTATACCGCAATAACATGCAGCTGCTGATACGAAAAACTGAATGCAATACGTCTATTTCTAGGGGACTGTAGCCACGGACAATACATAATCGCCGAGATCTACCGGACGGAGTAAGTACTGCTTACAGAATTATAAGATAGCCTTAGTTTGGAGCCAAGTCTCTACCCACGACAGCAAAGATAGGTACGCAGTCAGCATCACTTGATGGCATCCCATCCTTCCGAGTCAAATCTTTCGTTCCGTCAAATCAAGGAATATTCTCAGTGTAAGCTGTCAGGATCACGACATGATCATCATTCAAACCCTGTATGTATATTGTGTATCATGAGACAAATACTCAAACCAGAAACGAAAACATCCCAGTTCCTCGAAAACATCCTTGTTCCTTACTGGGACTGACCGCTTCTTTACAGTTTCCTATCTTATTATTTCTTTTTTCTTTTGCGAAGCTAGGGGTAAGGGGTTAGTTAGTGATGGTGATGCTACTGTACCTGCTGTAGCCTGTACGGTGTACTCCTCCCGCTACTGCAAACCTATGTTATCGTTACTACTGTACATCCAGATGATACATGATATATCACAGGAGAGGGAGTTGAGGTGCATATGCCCGAGTCAATGTCCAGGGCATGTTCAATGGCTTTTTTCGCGCTTCAGGCGCTGGGGGAGTTGAGACTGTGCACCTGCGTCTGTCTGCACCCCGCAATCTGCATATCATTTCCAAATCACCATGTCCGTGCTTGGTCATGATCATGAGACTTTAGACTCGGAGGGGAAATGCCTTCAATCATATCGTGTGCTCTGTATCATATCTACATTACGAGACGGGAACGGGCCGTAGCGTCAGGGGAAGAGTTAGATATTGTATATATTGTCCATTCATTGTTCATTGTTCTTGCAAGTCCATCTCCCCGTCCATATCCTTATACGGCAAGTGGGTATAGATGCAAGCCAAACATACCATCAACGACAAATTCAAAACTCCAACTCCATAGCAAGTAAATTAAAAACGAGAATTTTCCCTCCTGGATATCCAGAATGAGCCATCACAAAGGAAATTAAATACTCCGCGTCGTGCAGATTAACGAGTGAACAACCAACCCTGAACGCCAGCCATCTCTGTCATCTCGGTCATGATCATCAGTCGAGAAATCAATAGTTTATGCAATGATGCCGGATGCAGCTGACCCCGTCCCCCAGCGTAACCGCTTCAAACTGCCGCGAACGGCTTCTTGGCCACAGCCTGCCGACACCCGGCCTCCTAGGGCCCCCGCCCCTCCGTCTCCCATGACCGACCCCACGCCAGTGCTCGACTCCAGCCTGCCAACTTCGCGTCCAAGAACATAGCCCGCTGAGAAACTGATGGCCGAGAAGAGCACCACGACGCCGGCGCTGATCACCCAAGTCATAATGGTCGGGCTGCCTGTCGACATGGACTCGGCCATTCCCGCTCGACGACTCTTCTTTGCCGCAGAGGGATGTCCGATGTTCCGTTCCTTGGACGAGCTGGATCGACGCTTGGTCCTGTGGGTGTAAAGCGTAGGATCTGCGTTCCTTTTGCTGGGGCGATGAGACCTGGTCGAGGTGGTCTCGGTGGCAGACTGTTCCTCCTTCTCGCCCACCTCCACTTCTCCCATCGCTACTGATTCGGGCACCAGGCGGAATGACGAAGGTGCCCCTCTCGAAGGCTCAGCCGGCGAGGGCTGAGGATCGGACTTGGGCAATCCCCTTGCGGCAGCAGCACACGAGAGAAGCGTGGACAGACTAGCCCGAAGAGCAGCATCGTGGTCTGCATGATACGATGGCGAGATCATGTTGTACGGGCTGTGCTGAGGCCTTCTGTTTGGCCGTACACTGGCCTGCGAGTTTCTCCGAATCGCGGTCTGACGACTCGAGTTGGAGACAGTACTAGGCTGAGATTGATGAGTACCCGTTGCTCTCGTCCAAGAAGGGTTCTCTGGTGGATGAGAAAACACGTTGGGCTGCGGGACAAAGGGCGATGAGCTGATCCGCATCCCCAGTGCCGTTGATGCGTCGTCTTCATCGCTCGCCGTGGTCGCATCTAGCTCGGGCAAGGCAGGGCCGGTCCGCGAAAGGAGAGGCATCTCGACAGGTGCGCGGGTCATGTCTTCATTGGAACTGCTAAGCACATGATCCGAGTCACTCTCACTTTCGTCATATTCATCCTGGCTACTGCTGGTCTCCCGCAGCGGATAGTCGACCTGCGCTGTGGCCACGGCTGCCAGTTGTTGCAAACGACGGCGCCGGCTGCGGTGGTGATAGGCCCTGGACTCCGTCCGCTCGACACGCAGGCCCGTAGTAATAATATCATCGTTGGTTGCGGCGGATGAAAGGGAAGAAGAGGACGGTTGGGACGCTACTTCGATCCACGAATCTATATAATATCGAAGTGAGTACATTATGCCACGATTGTTGATAGCGATTATACATGTTGATCAATTGTGCGGTCGAAGGAACATCACTGCAGCGAGGTAACAAGTATATCAACCAACTGACCTTCAGATCTCGTGAACGCAGCACCCGATGGAGACCGTGACTGATGGATGTTCTCCCGAAGCGGCTGATGAGCCTCTCTTGTCATCCGGGGGGTAGGTCGGCACTCATCCTGTTGCGCCTGACCCAGCAGGTCATAGTGATTTGGCTGCATTGTCTGTATCTACAACTCGACGGGCGAGATTCGATCTGAACAACCCTATCTAGGATAGTTGACAGAAAGAAGTTTGAACCATCTGGTTCGACTAGGGAAAGAGGGGTGTTGAGTCAGACCACGCAGGAGAGAGAGCGGTCAAGGACTCAGGCAGACAACGGATTAGGACGCTGACAGGAAGCCGGTGGGGGTGCGTGGGGAAGAGTACCACCGGATCATCAACCAAGCAGCGCGGCAGCAGTAGTAGTATTATCTTATCAATGTGGAGTCCCGGCAAATCCTTGACAGGAGATCATCAACCAGGTTTGTGATCGATGACGATAAGTAAACCAGATGAATCAGGTCAAAGAGGAGATTGAAAGGGCCAAAGTCAGAAAGGTAGGGAGGGTTGCCTTGGATGAACGACGCAATGAGTGGACGTCAGAGGATCACCAGACTGTGGGCAGGTGACTTGGGGGCGCAGGAGAGAGAATCACGCACACAACCCAGTAACTATAGACCTCCCGGAATCAGAAAGAAACACAAGTTACACAACAAAGAACTCACCATCTAAGGAAAAAGCAGAGAAAAAGAAGAAAGGGTCTGTAGAAAGGAGATGAAAGACGATGCAGCATGATAAGCGTGAAAGATAGACAGGCAGAGACGTGGACGACTGCTGATCAAAGAGAACAGCGCCAAGATTGAAGCCACAAAAGCGGGGCACCAACCACATCCCAAGCAGCGCTGGTACTGTCGATCAGCAACTCTGCTACCACCACAGTACGCTCTCACATTGGACAACTACTGAACCAAACAATAATTTGAGAATGTCACTGACCATTCATAATACCCTAAGCAGTAAATCTATGTAATACAGACAAATTCCCATCAGACGTTAAATGACCAACTTTTGGAACCCATGCAACCCAGACATAAACCCAGTTCTTTTGTAAGCCGTAGAGAAGAAACGCCTGAATCAAGACACCATGTTGCTACTCATTTAGAAGGTGACCTTGGTGCCCTTGTACTCGGGGATACCACCACGAGCCTTGTTGGGGGCACCGCCGCCGCGACCGCCGAAGCCTCCACGACCGCCGAAGCTTCCACGACCACCACGCCCACCTCCGCCGCGAGGACCACCACGGCCACCGCGACCGCCGAAGCCGCCACGGCCACCACGAGGAGCATCACCGTTGCTGGGACGGGGAGTGCTGAAGTCGAGACGGACGGCACGGCCGTTCAGCTCGGCGCCGTTGAGGTCGTTGAAGGCCTGGCGAGCCTCATCAACAGAGGAGAACTGCACGTAACCGAAGCCCTTGGGGCGGCCCGACTCGGGATCGGTGGGCAGACGGATTCCAACAATGGTACCCGACTGACCGAACAGCTCGGAGACGGAGTCCTCGTTGGCACTGAAGGGGATGTTGCCAACAAACAGGGTGTCGCTCTCAGGGCTGGCTTGGTCACCGAAGTTACGAGCGCGAGCCTGAGCGCGGTCCTGGTTGTTGTCATTGTTGTTGTTGGCAGGGCGGCCAGTGGCGTAGTCGAGGTTGATCTTGCGACCATCAATCTCGGTGTCCTTCTTGGCGTTGTAAGCCTTGGCAGCGTCGGCAGCGCTGACGTACTCGACATAACCGAAACTGGATGCAGTTTAGCAAGGTGAATAAAACAAGACTAGTAGAGCTAAACTTACCCACGGGAGCGACCAGATTCGCGGTCGGTGACAATGCGAACACCAGAAAGCTCACCGAAGGTCTCGAACTCCTGGCGGAGCCAGTCCTCGTCGACGTTCCAGGACAGGTTACCAACGAAGAGGTTGGCAGAAGCGCCCGAAGCCTCCTCATCAGTCTTCTTCGACTTCTTGGGGCGGTAGCAGGTTCCTCCTCAGCCTTGCGCTTCTTGGAGGGCTTCTCAGACTCGGACTCGGAAGAGTCGGAGTCAGAGCCCTCGGAGTCTTCAGACTCATCAGAATCCTCAGATTCCTCGGAAGATTCCTGAGACGGTCAGACAAAACTATAAACAGTGGGAGCCACAGGTACATACCTTCTCGGCCTTCTTAGCCTTGGCAGGAGCCTCGTCCTCGCTCTCAGACTCGGACTCGGAATCCTCGCTGTCGCTAGAATCCTTCTTGGCAGCCTTCTTAGGAGCCTCCTCCTCTTCGTCAGAGTCGGACTCGGACTCAGAGGACTCGGAAGTGTCAGCCTTGGCCTTCACCTCCTTCTTGACGACCTTCTCATCTTCAGACTCCGACTCCGACTCGGACTCAGAATCAGAGGACTCAGCCTTCTTGGACTCCTTCTTGGCGTCCTTCTTGGCAGGCTTCTCATCCTCGCTCTCACTCTCACTGCTGGAAGCGTCGTCCATCTCCTCGTCGCTGTCGGCCTCCGACTCGGACTCAGAAGAGGACTCGGCCTTCTTGGACACCTTCTTCACCTCCTTCTTGGCAGGCTTCTCCTCCTCGCTCTCGCTCTCACTGCTGGAGCTGGTAGATTCCATGTCCTCATCGCTGTCAGACTCGGAGCTGCTGCTAGGAGTAGGCTCCTTCTTCTTGCGCTTGGACTTCTCCTTGGAAGCGAGCTCGCGAGCGATCTGCTTGCTCTTAGCCTTGGGAGACTGGGAAGCCTTGGTGACGCCAGCGTCCTTGACCTTGCTCAAGGCCTTGTCGACGGGCTTCTCAGCACCCTTCTTGGTAACGGACTTGGTCTTAGACATTTTGTACTATGAAAGACGACGATTAGCTTGAGCATCAACAGGGAGGTCAGAGAGTAGTATATACATAAACGAAGTTTCTTCAAAAGTGAAAAGTTGTAACTGTGCGGCAAAGCCTACAATCCCTCAATCACCCGATTTGAGTAAAAGCCCCCTGATGGAAAAACCAGAGTGATGACCTTATCACAGCTGGACGTAAATCTCAACACAAATGGAAGAGATTTAGCACAAATACCCACAAGTAACCCACAACGACAGTGTTCAAGCCCACAGAGACGGAGAGGAAATATGCACTCGTCTATAATATGAAACCCACGGAGAGTATCCCACAGATCGCACAGAATAGATTGCAATATGCCACAGCCCACAGCCCTCAGTGTATTAAGCCCACAGGATGTCTGTTGAAGTGTACTTTGCAAAGTACGGCCCACGCTGCTGCGTCAGTTAACGATGTGGTTTCTAAGAAGAAGACTGAAGTGTTTCACCGAATCAAGAATGATTCAGGTGAGAAAAATGTAAGAAAAGTGAGTTAGATAAAGGGGAAAGTGTGAGGATGAAGAGAAGAGGAAAAAAAAAGAGAGAACCGCGAGAGCTTTGATAAGGATATAGAAAAAATTTTCTGGAGGCTGGCAGAGATTTACGCACACCGCCTACTTTGTAGACGCTAGCTCAGGCACTATGCCACAGTAGCTTAAGAAAAAGTGGGTACCTGGCAGGTACTCGGTGAGCACGCGGCCGTCGCTGGAACCAGAGTGTCACTTGCTGGTACTAGCTTCAAGTTCCACCTCCGCAGACCACCACAGCTTGTCTACCCCAAACTGTTTATTCGACTACCACGGGGCATTCCTCACGCTTCCTACTATCGGATCTCTCTTCTTCGGAGACGGACTATAGTGAGCCAATGGGAGACAGGTGATACTGCTGCTGTCTAACCACCATGGCTCCTCCGACCCCTTCATCTCATCGGCCACGGAAGAGGAGAAAGTATCCCAGTGGCTCGAACAACTCCCTCATTCTTGAAGCTGAGGGTGGAAAATCATCCCCTGCGTTCCCTCTCGTCTCGTTTCTGTGGGCTGCCCGAGCTGGTGTATCTCAATGGCTGGTGCTACCTCTGATCCTTATGGTGGTAGGCCTCTTCCGTTGGGCTGTCAGTCTATGGGGCTACTCTGGTTTGTGCAATGCCTGGGGGTTGGGGATATGCGTCCAAGTACGTGCGGCTGACGTATAGATGCAGGGTTTCAGGTGCCTCCGATGCATGGTGATTTCGAAGCGCAAAGACACTGGATGGAGCTCACCATTCACCTGCCCATGTCGAAATGGTATCTCTACGACTTGCAATACTGGGGACTTGATTACCCACCTCTTACGGCATACCATAGCTGGCTGTTGGGAAAGATGTACGTGGGATTTCTGGGACATATTATAAGGAAGGCGTTTGTTCGTTGCTGACAATCAGTAGTGGAAGCGCTCTTGACCCCTCCTGGTTTGCCCTGGACGATTCGCGCGGCTTTGAGGATCCAAGATTGAAGGTCTTCATGCGGGGAACCGTGGTCGCTTCCGAGTATCTTGTCTACATCCCGGCCGTCGTAAACTTCCTTCGTCGTTATACTCGGATGCAAGGTGTTCCAGCCTGGTCCGCCTCAATTGCTCTCGTCGCGATCCTATTGCAACCGGCAACCATTCTCATCGATCATGGCCATTTCCAGTATAATACCGTAATGCTTGGGCTTGTCGTCGCAAGTTTGGATGCTATATTGGCCGGACGGATGCTGTGGGCTTGTCTCTTCTTTGTGGGCGCCCTGGGCTTCAAGCAGATGGCGCTCTATTACGCCCCGGTCATGTTCGTCTTTCTTCTAGGCGTTTGCATCTTCCCCAGGATACGCATTCTTCGTCTTCTGAACATAGCCATTATCACCATCCTCGCATTTGCGCTATTGTTGGCCCCGCTGCTTGTCGCTGCAACCAATGCCGAAGCTCGGGGCTATCTGAGTGCTTCTGCAGAACCTCCTTTGCTCCAGGCTCTACCCATCAAGCTGTCAAAGGACTCGTTTCTGTACGCACCCGTCTTTCAGCTGATGCAAATCATCCACCGTGTGTTCCCATTCGCCCGTGGTTTGTTTGAAGACAAGGTCGCCAACGCCTGGTGCGCCATCCACACGTTCTACAAGCTTCATCGATTCGAAGCGAGCCTTCTCCAGCGCGTCTCACTTGGTGCCACACTGGCATCCATCATCGTTCCTTGTGGGATCATTTTCCGTCACCCGCGAGCATCACTACTGCTCCCTGCTTTGGCCAGCGTCGCCTGGGGCTTCTTCCTTTTCTCCTTCCAGGTTCATGAAAAGAGTGTGCTCTTGCCCTTGCTTCCCATGACACTCCTTCTTGCAAATGATGGCGGCCTGAGCAAAGACACCCGGGCCTGGGTTGGATGGGCTAACATCCTCGGCTGCTGGACCATGTATCCTCTTCTCAAGCGCGACGAACTCCAGGTCCCGTACTTTGTCATGACGGGTCTCTGGGCCTATCTGATGGGTCTTCCACCAACTTCCTTTGAGACATATCGCAGCCGAACCCCGTGGGCGAATCAGGTCCTGTCTCCGAGCCTCGCATACTCACGAAACTTCTGCATTCTTGCTTCTACCTTGCCATGATCGTTTGGCATGTCCTCGATGCATTTGTGCCTCCACCGGAGGGCAAGCCCGATTTATGGGTGGTGCTGAACGTCCTGATTGGCGCGGGAGGATTTGGCATTGCTTACATGTGGTGTATGTGGAGACTGATCACTCAATGCTGGCAGATTGATCGCAAGGCGGCAGAAGAGGAGAGCCGGAAAAAGAAGCAGTGATAGCCGAGGGTCAGGGGCCGGTTTCTTGAACAATTTCTTACATGATACCCATTATACTTTCATACTTTCGAATGTATTTTATAACCCTGAGACGGGCGAAGATCAGATAACCATTTTTTCGACCTCGTACGTCCTGAGTCAAGGAGAGATGTTCTATTCACTTGTCTGACAGACGCCTTGCCAGACGACTATATACCTGTAGTGTACATAAAAAGTATACATCGACAAAAACTCCGTGCAATGATGCTAATATACAATCTAAAATCAAACTGCAGCCCATAACCCAACACCTGGCCCATAGTACAGCCGCATTATTCCCAATGGATCGCTCAGCGTTCGATCAACACCGACAATACCCACGTCCAAGCATAACCCAGCGTACTCGACGCACATCGTATACTGCCGAACAAGATCGATGGACAACACGGTTCAGCCGACTCCACCAGCTTAAACCTTGAACCCATATCCAGCCATGCAGGCCTTGTACTGCTCGATCAGGGGCTTGCACTCTTGAGCCGGGTCATCGGTTTTCGAGAACAACATGCAGTCATCACGGGCGGACTTCTCGGTCTTGCAGACGCAGCAGGGCTAGAGATGGAATGGTCAGATCGGTTCTTCCGGGGCGCGGCGCAATGCGCTCATCCACGTACCTTGGGTTTCTCGGTGGGTGTTGGCTGGGCGGCTGCGGGAGCGGGAGTCTGTTCCGCAGCGCCTGGGGAATAATATTAGTATACTATTTGAATTTCGAGGGGAAGGGGAGTGGAATTGGACAGGTGCTCGTGGGTATAGTTCTGCCGGAGAGATGCGGAGAAGAAATTGGAGTGCATACCTTTGGAAGAGCCGAAGAGCCACGACATGGCCGGTATCTGATTTCTTGAGTGGAAAGGGATGAGATAGCGAAATAGAAGAATGTGCGAAAGAGATTGAGTATCTATGTACGGATATGAAGCAGCAGAGGATGACAGGCGATGGAGCTGGAGTGCTGATTAATTGACTGCGATGGAGCGGAAACGGCGCATTTGGACTCTGCGGATTGCCGGAGTGCCGCCGATCGGCAATTTTTTTGGTACTGGACCTTTTGTTTGCATTTTTTGAGGAGGCAAAATAATAATAATAATGATAGCGGAGGATTTTCTCTTTCACCTCCACATTTGAACTGTGAACACTATCACCTCCTGCAGTCTCTCTGGCTATTAGATTATTCTGTCTGATCAGCGGTGCTTTCAGACTCACTCTCACAGTTTTTATAATTTCTTTGGATTGTTGGCTAATTTTCAGTTTTTTTGTTTGCCCCTGAACTACCCCACCATGGCCCCTCCAAAGGTCTTTTCGCTTGAGGGCAAAGGCCTCAAATTGGACACTGCTGAGGATATCGAGGCCCATATCAAGCCACTGATTGAAAGCACCGATTTCACCGAGATTCGCCTGGGTGGTAACACCCTCGGCGTACCTGCCTCGGAACGCCTGGCCCCCGTACTTGCTTCGCAGAAGAGCCTCGAAGTCGCCGACCTCGCTGATATCTTCACCTCCCGCCTGCTTTCTGAGATCCCCCAGGCTCTGACTGCCCTTCTCAATGCGCTGCTTGAGATCAAAACTCTCCACACCGTCAACCTTTCCGACAACGCGTTCGGCCTGAACACCCAAGCGCCCCTCGTCGACTTCCTCTCCCGCCACGTGCCCCTCCGCCATCTGATCCTGAATAACAACGGCTTGGGTCCCGCTGCCGGTACGCTTATTGCCGATGCGCTCACAAAGCTTGCGGAGCGCAAGGAGGAGGCCCGCAAGGCCGGCGAGGAGATTTCTCTTCTGGAAAGCGTTGTTTGCGGACGGAACCGATTGGAGAATGGCAGTATGGAAGCGTGGGCACGTGCCTACAAGGTACACGCTGCAGGCATCCGCTCCGTCAAGATGACACAGAACGGTATTCGCCAGGAGGGTATCTCGCTGCTTTTGAAGGAGGGTCTTCGTCACGCGAGCGCCCTGGAGGTTTTGGACTTGCAGGACAATACGTTCACCGTCATGGGATCTACTGCTCTCGCCGGTGTTGTGGCTGGCTGGCCCTCTCTGCGTGAACTCGGTGTCGGCGACTGCCTGCTATCCGCACGCGGTGGTGTAAAGGTCGCTCAGGCTTTGGCGGAGGGCAAGAATCAAAGCCTTCAGACTCTGCGTCTGCAGTACAACGAGATTACGGCCGAGGGTGTGAAGCTGTTCTTGCACGCTACGAAAACCGCCCTTCCTTCTCTTCGCCGCATCGAGCTGAACGGCAACAAATTCCTTGAAGAGGACCCGAATGTGACAGAGTTGCAGGAGGTTTTGGAGGCGCGCAAGGAGGAGCACGGCACCGATGATGATCCGGAGGACATGTGGGGTGTGGATGAGCTGGACGAGCTTGAGGAAGAGAGTGAAGACGAGGAAGAGGAAGAGGAACTCGAGGAAGAGGCCGAAGAAGAGGAGGAGGAGGAGCGCAAGGCCGACAAGTTCCTCAAGGACAATGTGAAGGCGGAAGACGAGAAGGTCGCTCAAAGACAGGACAAGGATGTCGATGCTCTTGCGGAGGCTCTGGGCAAGACTGCTCTGTAGACTTTGCGGAGTCTCGGTTACCTGTTTACGCAGACTCATTTCCCTGTCTTGTACCCAACTCAGCGGCGACCAGGCTTATCTCGCGGCGGTCATTGATGTATGACCATACTCATCAGCATGTCTAGGAAGACATGCGGCAATATGGCACCAACAATGATGGGTGAACGGCCGGTCGCACCCACAGTGACCCGAAATTGGGTCGAATACTGCCTCACGTCGAGTTCCCCTGCTTCGAAGTACCACTACGAGTGGCCATATCCGGTTGCCTTCTTGCGCTGATCTCACCATAGCGTTCTAATTGCGTCTTTTACTGCACAGATGCTCGGATAGATTTATGCCATCATCACCCTTTGATTGTCCCATGCAGCATGTTACTACCCCTACTCATGTATATAATGTTGAAAAGTGAATGAATTGATGACAACGGCCCTTGCATGCTGAATCGTAGTCGTTTCTGATGCCTTAATGCTCGTTCTAGCTGTCATGGAAGCTGAGGGGCACAACCCCATACATTTGGTACTCGGCACGTGGGAGCTTCCGAAAAGAGCAACGCCGGTCTTGGCGCGGAGGTTCACCCAAGTGCTTCATCTTCATTTACTTGTCCACCATCTCCCAAGTTCTCCGCGATTTTCATCTCATTTCGCCGGTCTCTCCGTTGCTCGCCTTTGCTTGCGCCGTCGCAGAACTCCCTTCCCCTCTAATCCAGGGAATTCGCACCGAAGCCGTTGATTATCGGGTCACAAGACCTCGACGTCGTGGAAGTGAGTTGAAGCAGCAGTTCCCTTTGCTTCGCTGGTTTTTCGTCAAGTCTTTTTGCAGTTATTTTCTGAATGAGCCGGGCGCTTTGATATGATGCATAGCATGCGTGTCTCTCGGTCGAGTAATGGGAGCATTTGCAGCTACAGTTGTCTCAAAGGCACGTGCTGCCGGATGTGCCGCGACGGTGATGGCAAACGCTTGTCGCAGAGGAATCTTGTCGAATTAGGTCACGGCTACTTGCGACGGTTTTTACGCATTTGCCATTGCATCTGAACTTTGTACCCCGTTGGCTTTTTTTGAATATGCGCAACATCTACAAGTGATTTATTTAGTATTTTGGTTTGCTAAGGCTGAGGCAGGTACAATTCTCACGACACGTCCCCTCCCTATCTTCATCCAATCTCCGATCGGGACCGGTCAAAATGGCGCTGGACGCGAAAGAAATCGAGCTCAAGGCGAAGGCCCTGACGAAAGCCGCCACCCAGAACGAGCCCGCAGCCAACATCGTATCACTGCTCAAGGAGCTGCAAACCGGAGTGAAGGCAACGGAGGATTTGCTACGGTCAACACGCGTCGGAATCATCGTCAACAAGTTCAAGCAGCACAAGTCACCGGAAGTCGCCCGTCTATCCAGCGAGATCGTCTCGAAATGGCGGAACGAGGTTAACAAACAAAAGGCCAGCGGGTCGCCGTCCGTCAGCCAGCGATCGAGCGGCTCGCCGCGCCCAGCACAGAACGGCACCGCGTCACCTGCCGGGACAACCCCATCGGACAAGATGTCGAAACTCTCCGTTCCCCCAGACAAGCGGACGTGGAAGGCGGACGGGGTGGATATCAATCAGACCTCGAACAAGATCCGGGATAGTTGCATTGGGCTGATGTACGATGGATTGTGCCTCAACTCGACCGAGTCGCCCCGAGCGGTGCTGTCCAAGGCCTGCGCGGTGGAGGCGGCGGCCTTCAGCGCTTTGGGCCCGGAGACCAAGGAACAGTACCGCACCAAGATTCGCAGCTTGTATCAGAACCTCAAGAACAAGTCCAACCCGACACTACGGGTGCGCGTGTTGTCGAACGAAGTGACACCCGAGCAGTTCGTGAAGATGTCGCACGATGAGCTCAAATCGGCGGAACAGCGCGAGCAGGAGCGCAAAATCCAAAAGGAGAACATGGACAAGGCCATGGTCGCGCAGGCCGAGCGCAGTATCAGCACCAGTCTGCAGTGCGGCAAGTGCGGACAACGCAAGGTCACCTACACCGAGGCTCAAACACGCAGCGCAGATGAACCGATGACGCTGTTCTGTACGTGTTTGAACTGTGGTAAATCGTGGCGGCAGTGATTTCTGTTTCGGTGTTTCTTTTCGTTCCTTGGCCTCGTACGGAGGCCTTTCTGGTTGTATTGCCGATAGGCACGGAGTTTGAGTGGTAAAAGACGGTTGTTTTGTTTCGTCGTGGGCGTGGGAGGGCTAGCCCATGATGACTTTCATTCTGAGTTATTTTGTTCCTCTTCAACTCGGGTTCTCTATACTAGCTGACTGAGTAGATCGAGGACATCTCCGCTGCATCCGCGCAGCAGACAAGACGGTAGACAGGTATAATAGGCTTAAGCCAATGAACAATCTGCTACTCATGAACTATAGAACGGCTTATTGTTAATTCTCTTTGCCATGCTCGCACCACGCACTGCGCAAGTAAATACAGACGTCATGGTTATGTAAGTCCATACAACGCCGCTCCACAGCATCCTCAAGTACAAACAACACAACACACATCGGGTACATCCCATCCCATCCCATCCCATCCATTCCATCCAACCTTATCGCAAACGCAAAATAAAAATCACAATGACCACCCCAAAGTCCTACACCCGCAGCTCCCTAATCCAACCCACCCTAGCCCTCTGCGACGCCTTCGCCTCCGCAGCCCCGCGACTGTCCTCCTCAGCCATTTCACCGCGGACCCCCTCCCCATGGTCCACGAGCACGGGCTGCCCGTCCTAGCCCCATTCCTGGGCCGCACATTCACCGGCAAGGACGGGGTAGGCCGGTACTTCGAGCTCATTGCGGACCTGCTCAGCTTCGAGAAGATGAGCTTCGACGGGGAGGACGAGTGGATCGTTGATACAGTTTCCATGGCTGTTTCGCTGCGGGGGCGGGCGCGGTTCACGTGGAAGGAGACGGGGGAAGGGTGGGATGAGACGTTTTGTTATCGGATTGGGCTGGCGGAGGATCAGGGGAAGGGAGGCGGCGGGTTGAAGGTGCAGGAGTACCGCGTGTGGGCTGATACCGGGGCGGCGTACCTGGCGCGGACGCACCAGTTGGGTGAGGTGCAAAGGGAGCTGGCGGAGAGGGAGACGAAGAAGTCGATGGAGAGGACGAGGAGCGGGCATGGGAATCTTATGGGGGAGGGGCAGAGGGTATATTCTGGGGGAGTGCGACGGCATAGACGTGTAACTTGTTTCATGTGATATAGATTTGGGTGTATCTCTAGTATCTAAGTTAATGGCAGGCCGTGGACGAAAACTAGACGCGATCCGCGTGGAAATCGACCCAGCCGATGTTGCCCGGCTTGCCGTCCGGCGTCTGGAATACCTTCGCTGGCGAGTCGTAGCGCTTGTACTGCTTCTTGTCCATGACGATGGTGAACCCGCCTTCTGCACGGCCGGTCGCGTTGAAGCCGGGTCCAAACGCTTTGTATTCGGCCATGACTGTCTGGTTGGTGAACCGGCTTACGCCAGAAACGATCCAGTCGATGTAGCCGCTGGGCTCGATACTGCCATCCTCGTAGGTATTGGCGAAGATGGACCGGTGTAGACTGTTCCATGGCCGGCCTAGAGCACATTTACCGGCAATCACCGGGGCGATCGATGCGTTGGCCGCTCTCACCGTCGAGTCGACTATGTACACGCCGTACTGGTTCTCAAAGGTGGTGTTGGTGCCCTTCCACGCGGTGATACCGCCACCGCAGTTGCGCAGGAGGATGTCCGACGATTGGATCCAGGCGGTACCGAAGCCGTACAGGAAGTCGGTCTGTCCGGCGATGATGTTCTTGTAGAAGTAGGCGTTTCCTAGCTTGCCGACATACACCTGTGTATGGTCAGTTTGTCCGTTCCTGTAATTGGCTGGCAAGATTGAGCAAGGGACATACAGTATCCTGGTAAGAGTAGAATCCGCAGTAGTAGAAGCCGCCGTTTGCGCGACTGAAGCTGAGAGCATGCGCCGGTCCATCGGAGTAATCAGCCCATGTGTTGCGGAAATCAATGTTGTAGGCCCTGAAATCGGTGTTACCGAACGGAGTATCCTCCGGCACAGGATACCCCGTTGGGCCTGAGCCGGTGTAGCTGGACTCGAGTGTAGGTGCAACAACCAGCACGCTGGAAAAGACATTGTCTACGCTCTTTCCGGTGTTGTCATGGTTCGCTTGGGCCCATGTGACGGTGACCTTGTTCTTCGAGGCATCGGTGACGCTGTCCGTCTGACCAAGCAGGGTTATAGGACCGGAACGGGTGACATTTAGTTGCTCCGTGTAGTTGCCTGCCAGTATCAAAATGGTCTGCTTGCTGTTGTCATTCGGCAGAGATTCGATAGCAGCCTGAATGGTGGAGAAGTGCGCCTTGGGGTGAGACTTGGAGACAATGACGGTTCCTTCAGGACAATTCCTCAACGAGGTCTGACAAGTGCGACGAGACGAGGAATGCAATGCAGCCGCTCGTACAAGAACTGCCTGCAGAATCACGGCGAGAAGCAAGAAATAGGACTTCATTTTGTCTTGACTATGCAGATTTCGCCACGAAGCCCGACGCTGAGTGTCCGCGCTCGAGCATCACGGTCGCCCAGGTCGTCATCTCTTATATAGTCTCCTCGTCCGGACAATGACAACGGGTTTATTGTGCTTCTGGAGAAATTTGGGGAAATTGCGGGGGCACAAACTGGGGTAGAACAAGCCGGGAGAGTATCTCCGCTGCTGACAGTGCTTGGAACGCGTACACTGACGAGTATCGACCGGGGAAATAAGCATGGCGAAGACTCGTGAATACACGTCAAACCATCGATTGGCCAATTGCAATTGGACACTTCTCTGGCAGAGGAAAGCTCCCCCGCCGTCCAGGGCGATTTCCCCAGAATACGCACGGAAATCAATTGCAGCGGCGGCGGAGAATTGAATTCCACCTGTCAGGTTTAAAGTGCTCGATGAGACGCAAACAGCGGCCCGGTCATTGTTATCAATATCAAGATAATTCCGTCTAAGCAAGAGCTCGATCTATCTTTTTCAAATTGGCTCCAGCTTGATAGTGGTCCTGCTGAGGGCCGGCAAATGAAGGCCTGAGTGACTCGTCAACGGAGGCACAGGCGGAGAAATAGGATGGCTCTAGTCCATGTTGAGTTTTTCCTGCCACGCATATGTATCTCGTAGAGTAGATATAAAGCGGATCCATTGTAGCTGAGGATCACTTAGCTTGCTTGCTTGAGGCAAGCATAGTAAACAAGTCTCCGCGCCCATCGCTGATAGGACGGGCTCAATGCTATCATGATCAGGAAACGGGGGTCGATACATCGCCATAAATGACTCTAGCCCTGTTGTCTAGAAGAACGTGAGCATTATCTGCGGCAAAGGAAGATCCTATATGATGGTGGACGATGGTGATGGTGCTGGTCAGCAGGGTAATGACGAGGAAGATACTTTGCCTGTACCTGGCTGCCTGGCTGCCTGAGGCATGACTGCATACTTTTAGTTGTGCCCTATACGCTTCTACGAGATTGCGGTGAACTGAGCAGAGCCGGGTCGAACGGCACCATAGCTACAACCAATTCAACCAAGTTATCAGCACTTGATTCATCCATGCTCGGTTAGTCGCGATTATTACAGCCAGATATTGCGTCTTGCGCAGATTAATCCGGACTACTCCGTACTCAGCGCCCATCATATGGTCAGACCGCCAGGCGCGATAATCAGACAATACGAAGCACCAGAGCCCGGTGGAGAAAGTCCGAAAGAAGCAACCAAGCAGATGGGATCAAGAGTCCATAGTGAGTATTACGACGTGCGTCATGCATCCATCCTGCACGACTGATCGAGACACCAAAATGGGCAGGTCGCTGGACGAGCTAATGCTCGAGGTGAGAGCTAGCAGCTACACAGCTACCCCTCTAGCAGACTAGCAGTACGAGCTACAGCGCACTACTGCCAAGAATGACGATAGTTCCTGCGTCTTAATCTATTCATCCTACAGATCAAGGCGCTGAGAGGCTGGAAGCTACCTCGGCAGAAGCTCCTTCGGGCGAACTCCGGGCACCAAGTGGGATGCAAACCGCGCAGTGGCAGGCTAGTTACTGCAGTTGTGCTCTTGTTCCTGCATTAAGTGGAGAGACTATGCAAGAGAAGTGGAGCGTAGCAGCTACGACGGTCGATCTAAATAGGAAAAAAAAAGGGGTAGCTCTGAAGCTCAACTGGAGCTTTCGCAGGCTGGAAACGAGTGCCCCTCCACGTAGATTTGCTGCCTCGAGAGGAAACTTTGGGAAGAGCAGTTTGAGAAGAGGCAAGGAGTGAAGAAATGGAGGAAACAAGAATAACTTCTTGAAATCGCTTGATTCACTAAATTTACCACTATTAATGACATACATACATGTAAAGAAAAGAATTGACTCTATGTAGAGACAAATGAGAGAAAAAAAAAAGTCTATAATACTGTTAAAAAAAGGTAACCAGCCGAAGCCCAGCCCTATGCATGTATGCTCAAGTGATATCCAGATGAGAAATTAGTAGTGAGTAATCAAGCGTCTACTCATCTTCCTCCTCCACCTCGGCACGAGCACCGAGAGTGTAGTAGGACTTGCCGTTGTTATCGGTCTCATGCTCGATAGCCAGCTTGGAGAGGTGGGCAATCATGTTCTCGATCTTGGTGTCAGCCTTGGAGCGGGTCTTACGGCCGAGGTTGTCAAGGGCGGGAATGATGGTGAGGATGTAGTAGACAACGGCGATGATGATAGTGACACCAATGGAGTAACCCCAGATGACAACGACGGTGACGATGTCGACATCGCCGTTGACGGAGAACTCGGCGTGGCTGGGAGGGCTGGTCTGGCGGTAGTCACCGGAGAGCCAGCCGAAGACACAGAAGAGGGTGGCGAGCACATCGACGACGAAGATGGCGCCAACCAGCTGCCAAGAAGGCCAGGTCTTACCACCACGGGTGACGAAGATGAGCCAGTTCTCGGTAAGGGCGACCTCAAGGAAGATCATCTCCTGAGGAGAACCGAAGTTCTGGATGAGACCACCGTTGTTCAGGAAGAGGGAAGCACGCATGATCCAGGTGGCACCAGCAAGCAAGATACCGAGGACGACGGAGATGACCCAGATCTTAGGCAATTGCCACTCGACAGGGCGCATTTCGTAGTGGGCATTGTCGTAGGCAACAGCGATGGTGGCCAGATCAGCGAACAGGGCGATGAAGACAACCAGCTCGGAGTTGAGAGTCTCATCAATGATGATCATGGAGGTGACAAGGTAGATCTCAAGGTGGAGACAGAGGGCAATACGGTACTGAATGTAGGCCTTCATACGCTGGAAGATCTGACGGGCAAGCTTGATGGCATCGACGATGGTGCTGAGACCGGGGGCAAGGAAGACGATATCAGCAGCGGCCTGGGCAGCCTCAGTGGAACCCTCGACGGCAATACCACAGTCAGCCTTCTTGAGAGAGGGAGCGTCGTTGACACCGTCACCAGTCATGGCAGTCAAGTGACCACGCTGCTGCAACATCTCGACGACCTGGTACTTGTGCTCGGGGAAGACCTCAGCGAAACCATCAGCCTTCTCGACGAGGTCGTGCTGGGCAGAGCCGGCAAGACCACCGTGGATCAGACGCTCGGAGTCGTAAACCTTGGTGCTCAGGGCAAGCATCTTGCAGGTTTCCTTGGCAATGGCAAGGGCATCACCAGTCAACATCTTGACGGACAGACCGAGGTGCTGAGCCTCAGCGATGGTGTGGGCAGTATCCTCACGAGGAGGGTCGAACATGGGGTACATGCCGAGCAGTTGCCAGGGCTCACCCTCCTTCTGGACGGCAACACCAAGGGAACGGAAACCACGGCGAGCGAACTCAGCGGCCTTCTCACGGAACTTGGCAGCCTCCTCCTCAGAGCACTGAGACATGTTCAGGATAGCCTTGGGGGCACCCTTAGCACAGACGTAGCGGACACCGTCGCAAGTGCAGACAGTGGTGATACGCTTGGAGACGGGGTCGAAAGGAGTGTACTTCTCAGTAACCCAGTTGCGGGAGAGAATCTCACGGGCCTTGGGGTAGCGACGGAGGGTAAGGATGGTAACCTTGTCAATGGGGTCGAGGTTCTTGACGTTGTGGTTGGAGGCAATAGCAGCAACGGCCATCATCCAGTTGACATCAACACCCTCATTGACGTAGGGCTCACGGATGGAGAGCTGGTTAGCAGTGAGAGTACCGGTCTTGTCAGAGCAGAGGATGTCGACACCAGCAAGAGACTCGATGGCAGTGAGCTTCTGGACGATAGCCTTCTGCTCGGCAAGGTAAGCGGCACCAACGGCGAGGGTGGTGGTGGTGACGACGGGCAGACCGACGGGAACACCGATAATCAGGAGAATAAGGGTGTAGTGGAGCAGGTTGTTGTCCTCGTGCTCAGGAGTAGCGATCTTGAGGTGACGGTAGAAACCACCAATCCAAGCGGCAAGAATCCAGAACATGACGAGAACGAGCAGAGTAGTACCGATGTTGTCCATGACAGCCTTGAAGTGACCCTGGTCCTTGGCACCCTGCACGAGAGCAGCGGTCTTACCGACGAAGGACTGCTTAGCGGTGGCGGTAACGACGGCGTAGGCCTTACCACGCTTGCAACCAGTGGTGTAGTAGCAAGTGTCGGCCATGTACTTGTCGACAGCGAGAGATTCACCAGTGATGGCGGACTGGTCAACGGCAATTAGGGAGACACCAACACGGGCCTCGATGCCACCGTCTTCGTCGTCCTCATCCTCCTTCTCCTTGAGGGTGTCATCGTTGGCACTGGCGAGGTACTCCTTGTAGGTCTCGAACATCTCGGGCTTGTCGTAGTCGCAGATCAGGCGAACATCGGCGGGAATGACGGTACCTTCCTCGACAACGATCTGTAATGGAAGGAGGAATTAGTCCAGGTCAAGGCGCTGCAAGATATGTAGACCAGTCAACTCACAATATCACCAGTAACCAGCTCACGAGCAAGGATTTCCTGCTCCTGTCCATCACGGATAACAACAGCCTTCATAGCAATATCACCCTTAAGACTGGCGACGACGTCGGCAGCCTGCTTCTCCTGGTACCAACCGACAGTAGCGTTGAGCAGAAGAATACCGCAAATGACACCCAGATCGATCCAGTCACGAAGACCGGCAGCCAAAAGAACAGCCAATTCCATAACTGGACAATAACAATCGTCAGTATTGTCTCTTGGGAAGGACAGTCCTCCACCCCTGAAAAGATTGGTAACGTACCATAGAGAATAGGACCACGGAAGTAACCAATGAACTGAACGAAGAAGTTGGTCTTCTCGGTGGTCAGTTCGTTCCAGCCAGCCTTCTTACGACGCAGCTCAATTTCGCTGGAGGGGAGACCAGTGCGCAAGTCGGTTTCGAGCCATTCGTCGGGGCAGACGAAGGCGCCGCCAGTCTCAGCTTCCTTCCTCCAGAAGGCGTACCAGGGCTTCTTCTTCTCCTGGAGGCTTCTAGCACCGGCACTGGAGGTCGAGCCGCGACGGCCATCGCGAGCAGTCGAGATGTAACGGTTCAAAGCAGTGTACTCATCGAGGTTGCCTTCATTTTCAGCGTGACGAGAATGGTCACCATTCTCCACGTCGGGCGCATAGGAGATCCTCCGCTCCGCCATTGTTGCTTCGGCTCACAAAGCCTTTGGAACCCAACGATATGAGCAGATGCAAACAAGAAATGGCAGGAATGGCAAGAGTCGGAATATTCCTATAGAGAACAAAAGAAGGAGAGAGGAGGAGGGAATGAAGGCGAGGGGGATGGGAGAATGTATCCTTTAATATTTGGGGGGATTTGCATGGGAACAGCACAAACACGTCTCCCGAGCTCTAACGGGCGACCTTCCCTGTGCGTAAACCCACTTTTTTTTTCCTTTTCTTTTTTCTTTTTCCTTTTTTTCTTTAATTAATTAAAGAGGGAAAAATAAATCCTTGTTGTCGATGGAGTAGTGTGACCGGATAAGGTTTAGCCTGTAGAGCCCACACCCTCTCGAAGGTTTAGAGTGAATATGGCTCTTTGCCTCCTCGGATTGTTTTTTCTTGTCTTTTTTTTTTTTTTTTCTGACTTTTTTACCTCTTCCTTTTCTCCCATCCTCTCTTGCTTCCCTCGCACACACGATTTGTGCTTAACGGTACGCCCGGCTTTTTCCTTGCCTTCTTTTCCTTCTCTGCGGGCTTCTTCTCCAACCGGGCAAAGTGGATCTTTTGCTGAATGCAGTTTAGGCTCGACATGCCGCAAAACCTGACTTTCCCTTAAAGATCACGATGATATGGTATCTTACCAGCGGTACAGCGCTCTGTAGCATCATTGCTCACTTTCCTATGCACGATGCACTCGTATCGTCTGTTTGTTCGTAGAGCGGCGGATCGGTGCCGACTGCCGAGTTCGCCCCCCCAAATCCTCCACCCCTCCAGACCATTACGGTAAATCCGACTCCATACAGACAGTACGGAGTAGAAGAACATCTGGGGCACAGTCTTCGGGTGAATGAGGACTCTGCTAGCATTACATCTGTGATACATGATTGTAAGATACCGCCGGGAATATCGGCCAGCCAGCTCGATCAAGCCTATCTCGGAATAGGCGAAACGAAATTCCATACGGTATGAGTGGTTACCGTCTGCGGCTGGCTTCTCGTTAATTTTACCCGTCCAACATCATCTTGCCCCCATCTTAACTATGCGCGATTTTCTTGACACTGCGGATGAGGTCTGAGACGCGCCTTCAGTATCATGACCTAACGCCTAGAAATCCTATTCATGACTATTTGCAACAGAAATTGGAGCCCGCTGAAGGACGGGAAAAGGACAAGAAGACTATTATTGATGGACTAAAATGCGTCCTCATTATTGTGTTGTCTAGCTATGCAGCGTGACAGTCGGACATTGAGGTCATCCTTCATTCCCTTGCAGAGGGAAAAATGCTGTACCTACCTGGTAGTCTTGGGGCAAGAAAACAAACAGAGCAAACCCATACCAACATATTTCTTCTTCCAGTGTTATGGTCCGATGCCAGGGCACCGTACCGAAATACCTGCGGTTACCGGTACCACAGGACGCAGGGCCGTCCTACCCGATCTTGGAACCACGAGTTCAGTAAGATAGGAACGCAAGGGGCAGGGCCTTTTCCTCAACCAAGTGCCGCCAGGTATGGTCAAAACAAACACTTTCCCTGGCCGATGATGTCGACTGCGTCGACTATCTTGTACGTAGATGCCGTAGATGTCTTTTGGCTTTGCATAAATCAGCGATGCCAATAATGATTCAATTGACATGGCTTGA